CTGAATAACAAAATTAAAATTTCAAGATTTTCGTAAGAATAAATTTAAACATTAACGTTAAACGCGTAACTGATATGAAATTAGAATAAATAAAAAAAAAAAATTCGCTTGCAAAAATAACAAAGAAAAAAAAAAAACAAATAATATCTTATTTGGGAGAAATTTGGTAAACCCATTTTCTCTTTTAAGTCCTCTCGTTAAGAGCGTATACATATATACACTTTAGCACTAATGTCTAGTCATTAAAATAAAAGATACAAAATTTATAATAATAAATGAGAACACAGCTTAAAACGAACAATTTTTACAAAACTTAAAAGCACATAATATTTTGTAATCATTATTTATTTTTTTATTTATTTATTTATTTATTTTTTTTTTTTTAAAGCAAACCAACGACACTTGAAAAAAAAATAAATAAATATTTGTTTTTATACTTATATATATAAGTGTATATCAGAGATTTCTTTAAACAATATCAAATTTGTTACAAACCACGAGAAAAAAACTAAACAAAACAAATAAAAGTTTAAATTAAAAAAAATAAAAAAAAACAAGAAATGTTACTTAATTGCATTTAAATTTTAATGTAAAAAAAAAAAAAAAAAAGAATTAAATCAATCAAAATTTAAAAACAAGAAACAGCTAAATATTTAGTAAAATATAAAATTCATAAGAGTGTGAAAAACATATTTTTCGTTTTTATAAACCCAACCCCCCATATGGCGTATTATATTATATTAGATTCGCCAAACGATTGTACCGCAGATCCTTATATATATATATATTCTTAATGAGCACGAATGGAGAACAAAGCTATCTGTCTGTCTGTCGTTTGTCCGCAATTTCTATCTAAAATAACAAACCTCGTTCATATTTATTTGCTTTCTTTGTTCTTACTCCTATCGCGCGGAATCCACCACTAAAAATCATATATGTGACAAGCGGTCGCGGACCATACAAATGTAGTTTTTAGTTTAAATAATTATTTTTAAAAACGCAGCTGAATTATGATAAGGTTTGGTTTACGAGCATTTGAGTGAATGCTTCGTTTCTCTTGCATCAAAACCTCATGGTAAGTGGTATTAAAAAATGCGCCATAAGACCTAATAAAATTTCTCTCTTGTTCTTTCTTTTTCTTTTTTTCCCATAACAAAAATTCGCATCAGGGATTCGTCGACTGGTCCGAACGCGTTATATGGACTTCAGTCTACAAGAAACTGTAAACTAGAATTGATTTTCGGCATTGGTAAAAACGGCATCAAAAAATTCAACGTAAGGCCTGATATAATTTCTTTCTTATTCTTTCTTTTTTCGCGACTAATTCTAACGCATTATATGGCGTAAATTAGAATTGATCATAAAATTTATTAAGAGTATTTTTACGCTCCAGGCTACATTTGGGAGACAAAAAGAATGCAGTTGAAAATTTATGTTCTGTTTGTACTGCGTTTTCTTAGAGAGTTTTTATGGGAATCGGAAACTTGTTTCTGTTCTGAAGATCAAGTTGCGTCGACGACAGAAACAATGGGCTCGAAAAAGGGGTATACAGTTCAGCTCGAAAGTATATAATAAGAGTTAATAGCACAAACTAATATCAAATTACAAACACTTCGGCTCGTTTATACACGATGTTAACTCAACTATGGGCCCGAATGTAAAATTTTGAACTTCGGCTTGGTGTTTAAATTCTAAGAAAAATTCAGAAAAAAATTTAAGTGCAGACAAAGCAAACCGTTGACTTCTAGTATTATTAATGGATCGCTTATGTTCTAGACGATCATTTAAAATCATTCTACATCGCTGGATTATTCACGATAGTTTTTACTATCTTCTATTCTTAAACGACTTTCGGCATCAAATCAAATATTCTACCCGTTCTCGATTAGCCTGGCAATCTGGGCCTGTTCAACCGAGATACTCGATTCGCCTTCTTAGAGATGCAAAAATTGAAATGGAGAGATGAAATTTATGGCCTATGTTCTTGACTTAAGTCCGAAAATGAAGCTTGACAAACAATTTGCAAAAAAAAAAGACAAAGTTTGCCGATGATTTATAAATATAAGAAATTATTTTATTCATCGAAGTATGCGGTCGCATTGCCCACACACTTTTGTCATTTAAGGTTTTTCAGACCGATGGTATAAAACCCTGTCGACGAGAGTCTATGAGTGCCTGGATGGCCAGTGTTACTTCTTTACCGGAATTGAAATTTTTTTCCCATCAAGAAATTGTCCAAAGTGCGAAAGAGTGGGAACTAGATCTGGCTTTTGTTTCCGTTTTTCGTTCGTTATCTATCTTTTTCTCTTTCCGGATTTGAGCTAAGTGAATCAATATTAGTTTGTTTGCTAATACCCAACTTTAATGACAATTCATAAGGACTTTGCATGGGTCAAACTTAACGGTGACCTTTAGTACGTCATTATCGACCTTTGATTCTGGGCGACAGTCCATGAAATCAAAATTACCAATGCGAAATTTGGCTAGACAATTTGATACTATCTGCTGCTTAGTTACGCTAGAACCAAATACGCTATTTATGTTTCGCGTGGTCTGAGATGACGCAGTTGCACGCAAGACATCCCACTTAATGATAGTACTAATTTCCGACCGATCCGTTAAAATGAAAAATAATGTGTAAAAGAAGTTAATAATATTTTTTAGCGCTTGGAATAATTTACTTCTGCCCACACCATGTGTAATTTCTTAATAAAGAACGGCAAAATATTAATCATTGTCAAATAACAAGCTGTCAAAGTTGGCAAAATTGTAAAGTTTCAATCTTGCCAACATGATATAAGAATATATTGAGAATGAAGATCGTATGTGGTTTTAAGATTACGCCGATTTTTTGGTATTGTATTTTTTTTTCTTCTTTTTTATGCAGTTATGACCAATCGCTCACGGGTTGTCCTCTACGTACAACACGCTGATATTCGGGAAGACGTGGCGAGAGAGAGATAAAGATTGAGCTCTCAGCGTGGAAGGTGTGCGCCCGATCGATAGGTTTAATGCCTTCGGTCGTAAAGGCATTATAAGCAGACTTAGTAATCAGGCTTCTTAATTACTTGGCTATGCGGTACTCGAATATAAGACATAAGGAATATAAAACAAATATTTCTACTAATTTTTTGCTTTAGTGCTTTTTGTTGAACATGCAAGAGAAATCAGAAATTTTAATTTTATATTATTGACCATGGCGCTGTAAATTGCAGCGCTGTAGGTAAAGCATTTTATTTTCCTTACCTAATTTCATAAGGTTCTTAGAGTTTCACGAAAGAAAATCATAGCAGTGAAATTCAACTTTGTCGTGGATGAACCGAGTTGTTGTTTTTACAGGGCTTGGAATTATTAACTACGCAATCCTCATACCTGTGCTACACCATTAATAGTAAATATTAGTAAGTAGTTATGACGAATGTACCTCAAAGCTTGATTAGATCTCCGCTTGTTAGTACAAATAAGTAAGTAATGGAAAAAAATAATTCCAGGTAATGAGGGTCGAAAATTTCACAAGTTTATATGGAACCTCTTTGTCGTTTGTATTTTCTTCCCTTCCTAACGAGTCTCTCTTGTATTATTCATTGTTGTAAATAAGGTGTTCAATTATGACCTTTCCGTAAGACAAAAAGGAACGTGAAAAAAGTAGCAACTGTTTGTAATAAATTTTTTATATTCTGTTATAAGGTCGAATCTACAATGATGCGTGAAGCTAAAAAGTAGCAAGTGATAAGCCGCGCTATCATATCATTTGATGAGGAGAAAAGAGGAAATCGGTGTAAATGTACACAAGAATATACCGTTTGAGAAGTAAGAAATAAAGAAATCAAGGAATGTTTTGAAATCTGTATGCGCTACATCTTGGAGGTCTGATTCTTCGTGCATAATTAATTTGTATACATATTTAATAAGGCCAAAGTTGGAGAACGCTTGCTCATTCCTGTCGGATGTTTAGGGTAAAGATCACTTGTGACTTTGTAGAGTTCGGTAGCTATGTCCTCGTTTAGCGCTTGACGTCATGAACTTCACTCACACTCTGTGTTTGAAACAAATGGCAAATAGTATGCCTTCGCTTGAAAGATTTTGTTTAAACGCTAATGCCGCAAAATCTGATGCAAATCCTCCCGCTCAATCTGTTCTCTATAATCTTATACCGTTCGACTTTTCTCATTCGTTCTTCCAAATCTTTCTTCAGGAGCTCGATAATTTCAATATTTTGAAATACATTTTATTCAAAATTCGACTAATTCGACAAATCGATTTTATTAGCTCTATAGTAGTTCCTAACAGATAGGTTTCACTTATATGTACAAGAAAATAGGTCTTTGTTACACAAGTTGAAATCTGATTGAGCATAGTGGCTATATTGTTCGTTTTTAGGCGTAATCTATTCTCCTTTAATATATAAAAAAAAAAATAAATAAATAAAATAAAATTAAATTTTTGAATTTGAATAAATAACATGTCTTCATTTCTTGCTCTCTACCTTCTTCTGTTTTTGTTTGCTTGCTTACATACCAGATCATATGATTTGCTAATTCCCACAAAGGCTTGTACAAAGCTGAGGAACATTATTTCCCACACTTATTGTTATTATTATTATTAATTTCGCCAGAGAAATAAATTCTAAGACTAAACTCTTAAAAGCACTAGCATCTAAGGCTATCGGCTTATTCCCACACTTAATACAGCTATCAAGCCTTATTATGTAGAGTTCTTAGTTGAACTGAAATTTTTAATACCTAATGTCACTTATGAATTCGATAGATTTGTCTTAAAATTTCTATTCGCAACCAAAAAAAAAAAAGATGAGTATTATAAGCAAACTGGTAAGTTTTTGATAAATACACACACAATTACGAAAATCAGTCTTTCCGTACGTGATGACAAAGAGATCAGCTATTTCGATGTCTCTTTCGCACTTGTTATTGTTTTTTTGCAATATGCCAAAAATTGTTGCTCCATTTAATTTGTGTTAGCGTTACCCAGTGAATGCGGATATCACAAAGAATGTTTAACTAAATATGTGTCTGGCCGCGAATTTTTGAAAATATCAATATAAATTTAAGAAAATAATGGAGGAGAAAAGTTGGTTATGATGTAAAGTTCATTAAACCATAAATAACATTTTTTATTTTCCACGGTACCTTTAGAGTACAATAAACGCAAAGCAAAAGCTGTCGCAGAGGGCAATCGAGAGCAAATTGCTATAAGCTGCAATCACTTAGCGGATTTTTATAATCAACAAGGTAGATACCAGGATGCAGTTAAAGAATATCAGATGGAAGCAGAGATTTACGCTAAAATGGGAAAAGATTTGGAGACGGGAAAAGCTCAACGTATGATTGGCGAAATGTGTATGCTGTTAGGCGAATTTGATAAAGCAAAAGATCATATCACTAATTATTTAAGTAAGTAAATGTTTATTGCAGATTCGTTTCCATCTTTGGTCACAAATCTATCTTAGTTGTTTTGTAGAGCAACGTCTATTATTTCAATTTTCAAATCATTCGATTTTATTTACATTTATTTGCATAATTCATATTGTTCATGATGAAGAAATTGTAAAGAAGTTGCAAAATACTGTCGAAGAGCAGAGAGCGTATACCACACTAGGTCGAGCGCATTTGTTACATGGACAAAGTTTAAATGATGTATCAGCTTCAGACGCTATGAGCCAATTGAAGCAAGCAGAAAAATCCTTTCTGAAAGCTCTATTGCTGATCAAAGGGTAAATTTTTATTTGGCCATTTACGTAACAATGCGATTTACATGTACTTTATAATACTTTGTTATCAGATTAGCGGGAAAAATATCAAAATTAGAACAGCTTGATATGCAAGCCCGTTGCTATCTTAATATTGGTGTTGTCAAAGAGCATATGGACGATTTCGAGGCGTCGATTGCATACATTGAAAAAGCAATCAAAATAAGCACATCAAACGATATATTTGAGTTGACGCATTTGTGTTATGTTTCGATGAGTTTACTTTATCATGTTAAAAAAGCTGACGCCATCATGTCTCTACGTTATTGCAACTTGGCGCTGGACGTAGCTAAACGTTTGCCACAAAAAGTGAAAAAAATCTGTGAAACTCTTATTATCAAAGGCGAAGTATTGATTAAGGAGGGAGATTTTGCCAGTGCTAAACAAATATTAACAAAAGCATATAAAAAAAACACGCCCGACGAAAACGATCGGAAGAATATTGAAAAAACACTTAAAATTGGTGAGATGAACTGTAAATAGTAGTAAATATATTTGGGATACTTTGGGGTCGAAAAGTTTTCGAATTCTTTGAAAGCAAGCATTTGGTTAGTCGATTCATGATACGTTTATGTTTAAACATTTACTTCGATTAAGTTCGACTTCCCATCGAACCGAAGTATCTCATATTTCTAAAATAGTATTTTTACTGAGAGCCCAACTTTTCTCTATAAGTAAAGCTTAACTTGTATTTCTTTGCACGTTCCCTCAGTGGCAAAAATTTGTCAATTGCTGGATGACCTGATAACAACTAGTATAGTGGATTATAGCAAACGTAAGAATTTATTTGAAAAACTGGGGGATGGCTGTTGTCATTTAGGAAATTATACGAAAGCTTTAGAATATTACCATAAAATGCTTGAGTGTGCTGAATTAAACAATGAATCCGGTAAATCGCTAATCCCCATCTACGTTAGCTTGTATCAGACATATAAAGATAATAAACAATATGAGCAAGCCTTGGAATATTTGCGCAAGGAGTATGAACTGAATAAAGACGAGCCAATCGAAGCATTTTCAACATTATGTGCCATTGCTGATATATACGAGATGCAACTGCAATCGTTTTGGGCCATCCAAGACATTTTACAACAGGCAAAGGAATACGTTCCTCGGTGTGGAGATGAGAAAACTAAGTTGGAGAAAATCATCTATTCCCGACTACGAAAATTACAAATAAAGCATGACATGCACAGTTTGGCTGATGAATTGTTACAAGAAGCCAACAGCAAAGGTATGTACGCTGAATTCATTTCTATAACTGAAAGAAACTATCAATTTACCTTGTTATCGTTTTTAATAAGGCGTCGATCTTCAAAGTACAAGTGATGATACCGATACCGAATCCGAATTCGGTTCTTCTGAGAATAATACCCCTGAATTAGGAGATGATATTTGCTTAGAAGATTTAACGGATTCTGACACTAGCGATTTGGACGAGACTGATAAACCTCGTCCGCATAGGGTAACGCGAGGCGTTCGTTCATTGACGATTAAACGCAATAATAAAGGTGAAACGCAACTGCACCAGGCCTGCATATCAGGCAATATTGAGTTAGCACGTCGTCTAATTGATCAAGGCCATGTGGTAAATGTACGAGATCATGCTGGCTGGTTGCCACTGCACGAAGCCTGTAATCATGGGTATCGCGACATAGCAGAATTACTTCTTGTGCGTGGCGCCGCGGCGGCCATTAACGACAAGGGTGGGACCAGCTGTGATGGAATAACGCCGTTGTATGATGCTTGTTCCAATGGATATTTGGATGTAGTAGAGTTGTTATTAGATCGAGGGGCCGACGCAACTGTGAAAACAGATTTTGGAGAAACATGCGTTGATGGTTTGGATAAATGGCGTCTTTCCGCTACGCTGGTACAAGGCGAACAAGCTCAGTATGAAATGATACGAAATCGTTTATTGAATTATCTCTCAAAAGTCGGTATAAATGCAACGCAGAAAGATAAACCATTGACAAATGCGTGCTCGGCAAAGCAATCTTTCTCTGCCTCTGCCGAAATGAGTGATGAGAGTGATCTCCCAGGTGATGAACCTGAAGTCAGACCATCCACTTCTCTTCAAAAACATTTTGAAAACAGAAAAAGCCGACAGTCACAAACAAAAAACAACAAATATGGAACTGAGTACAAACATATTATTGAACAATTAAAACATCCCAATCACCGTCCGCCAGTAGAAGAAGATGCAACATTGTTTGACGAGCGAAGTGCTGCTGGAAAACGGAAATCTGCATACCTTGGTGAGAATGAAGTTAACGAAGAATCATGGCTTATTGATGACATGAGGCCAGACAAAAAAAAACGTCGTTTTCAAATTACAAGAACACGATCAACATCAACATCACCTACAAATGATATTCAAGTATCAACTGGTTGGAGCGATTTCTCTCCCTCAGTACACGATATGTTTGAAGATTCATTGGATGAGCAACAGCATCAAAAGAAAAGTAAAAAATTGACGTTAACACGATCTTTGTCGATAAGCAGTAATGCGAGTTCCAAAGGTAGCCACCGCAATAAATCTAAACAACAAGCCTCATTGCTTGATAGTGGCTTTTGCCGATTCCGTAGTGAAAGCCCCTTACTACGCGACATTGATTCTAATGATAATGTTCACATTATCGAACCAGATTCCACCACCACTTCGCTTAATATTTTAAAATCATCTTTGGAAACCTCTATACCCAATACGCAAGCATCTTCTTTATTGTCGACATCAGTTTCATTTAAAGTAAAAGTTGAAGATGAGTTCTTGTTAGTACCAATAGATAGAAAAAAGTTAAATGATGTTAATATACGTTGGCTAGCTGAGGAGGCATCTAGAAGATACTACAAGTAAGCGGTTGGAATTCTTGTTTATATGATTTTGCTTCTCGAATAGTTATTTTATTGTTTAGTTTGGTAGGTTTAAAACCTTTACTACGTCTTAAAACTCTCGACGGATTTATTTATGCGGAAAACGATGCTGTAACCGTAGCCTTAGAACAGAATATATTGTTGGGAACTGTTCTTGAATGGGAAATTTGTCCATTAGCCCAGCGTTATGAAGAAATGTGCGATCATATGAAACAAGGTAAGAAACTAACAATAATTATTTATTCTTGAAAATGCAAAAACTTAGCTATTATGCCTTCCAGCTATCGATAGCCGAATTAAGGATGAACTTCTAAATGATCAAATGTCAAACACTATTAATTTGACAAATTTTTGGATGAATTCCACGCAATGTAAGCCCGTTTTTAAGAGCCTTATGCATCAAAGCAATCTTCGGGTAATAGTTTTAAGCAATAACTTCATACGAAATGAAGGCTGCCGTTACTTGGCTAAGTCTCTACCTACTCTTAAGCAATTGAAAACTCTAAATCTGGAAGGTAACTTTATAACAGCTGATGGTTTAGAAATCTTATTAACTTCATTAGATAACGTAATTGATGTGCGTTTGGAGCAACTTATTCTAAATCATAATCCACTTGGAAATAATGCGATACGTGTGTTAGATAAATTTTGCACCAGCAGCCAAGGAACGGAAATGCAAAAATTGCACTTAGCTCACTGCCAGCTGTCGCAGTTGTTCGATTACGATTTGAATTATCAGCAGCTCAGCGACTTCGATATCAGCTTCAATCAGCTTAATAATGAATCGTTTCGTAAATTAACGAAGAAATTGAATTCAAGTCGTTTGCAAAGTGTAAATCTGAGCTACTGTTGTTTTATACGATCGTCAGGTGACAATTGTAGCTTGGAAAATTACGATACCGAATATGCTGAAAAAATTTCCGAATTTTTCGAGAATGGCACATGCGAACATTTTAAACGCGTTTATTTGGCGAATTGTCAATTGAACGATATTATAATGTATAGGATAATTCAATGTTTAAGTAAAGCCAACGATCTAGAAGTCATTGACATAACAGACAACGTAAAATTATCGACCACTTCTTTTCGCTTCATATTAGACAAATTGCCTAACGTAAAGAAACTTATAGCTATCAACTGCATTCGTTTTATGAGCATCGAATGTATCGAGCATATAAAAAACATTCCAATGTACATGAGTTTGTCTTTCATCACAAATAACACGGATGATAATCATAAGGAACCATTACATAAAATATGGCGATCAATTTGGGGAGTTAAAGCAAAAATTAAATTTCTTCAAAATAATGTAATCCTTTATACGAATGACAATGATTTTATTCAGTATTAATAAAAATGCTATTTCCTAATTTTACCTAAAATGTTGTCAAATTTTTATTTAGTTCGAATATAGTCAATCGTTTTTCCCATCTCTATGACACCAAAAGCATTCCGGGCATTGAGAAAAAGACTGGGCTGTAGAGATAATGCGAAATATGGAATTATGCTGCGCATTTTTCGTAAAAATTGTGCAAGCATGAGTCATACAAGTCGTGAGTCCTAATTGAGGCGAATACAGAACGAAACAATTTCTATAGAATATAAAACAAGGGGGATGGTATATCCCATTTGTGTATTTCCAAGTTCTATTTAACCGAGCCTACTGCATGGGATCGAGCATTCTTGTGTGTTTGGCTGCTTCTCCTTCTTTATAAAATCGCTTCAATTTCTCTACTTTTGAGAATCATTCCCAAGGCTGGGAAGCGTAACGAAGTTGTTTGTTTAGTGCTTCTGGAGAATATAATAACTGCGTGTTTGATTAGTATTTAATACGACTCTTCATTCAATAATATCTCTAAATCTCCATTTTCATAGGTATCGGCCTGTCCTTCTCGTCGTCTATGACTCCGCGTCAGAATTACAAATTTTGAGTTCTCTACATAAATACTTGAAATTTGGATTAAATACGCCTTGGTTTCTGAAAGCGCCACATAACACCTTTAACTAAATTTTATTATTTTATTTTTGCTTCTAATTAAAAATGTATATATATATATAGCAGCGATGTCTTTAATGAGAGTAGATGCAGCAAATCCGATGGTCAGCTGACATAAATCCTTTAATGATTCTATACGATGACTCGTTAAAAAAAAAGATATGCATAAAATATATATGTACCTAAGGGCCTAAAGGTACCTAAAGGTATGTGTTGATTTATCTTCAAAATCAAAAGATTTAATTTACATATAAAAGGATTACTGAAAGGAAAAAGAAATAAGTTTAAATAATTATTACATGCCTTGCGGCAAACTTGATACTTGAATGAATTCCATAACTTTACAGTGTTAACAAACAATAGTCTTGATGATGACAAATACTTAATATAAAGATATAATTAAAATCAGTCAGGCAGGAAAAACTAAGTTTTTATACTCGCCACTGTAAAAGGGGTTACATTCATTTTGTTTTTTTCCATAATATATGCAAACACCAAAAGTAAGCTTCAGGAACCCTATATAAAGTACATATATTTTTGATTAGCGTGAAATTCTGAATTGATTTGGCCGTGTCTGTCCGTCTGTGTGGTGTGTTGTTGGCACTCTCCTGCTCCCAATAATGAAGACGTCCACTTCAAATTTGGTAGAAACATTGAAAGTTTTTGCACGCAAGTTAGTATTGAAAATGGGCCAAATTGGTCAGAGCGGGAGTGCGTAGTGGAGCGTAAATTGAACCCAGATCCGTTTTTCTTTTACAAAAATTTTTTTGATTTTTGCTCGTTATTCGGATATTTGCTGAAATTTTCCACATTTGCTTTAAGCACTCTAAGCTCCTTAAGAGCAAAAATGGAAAAAAAGTCGGCCATGTCCACACAAAGTTACAAGCGCTTCGACTATTTGAGATGTTATGCCTATTTATCACAAGGCAAACAAGACAGAATGCTTAAAACTACTTTGTACATACCTTGAATGATGATGTATTATCCGCCCAAGAATGGGTTAATTCTGAAACGAATATGATGGACACCGCGATTAATTTGTTGTTAATAATACCAGCGATATGAGTATCAAATAAAATAATTTGAAGAATAGAATGCGAAGAGCATAGTAGTGGGTATGCGAGAAGTTGTTAATATCAGATCAACGAATGATTTAGGTCCTCATTAATCGCAGAACCATATCCTCCACAAGTGCACTCAAGCGCGAGGAATAAGTTTATTATTAGCATACAAGTGAATATTGCAGCAATGGCAACATGGAACCCAGCAGACATCATAAATAATCTTAAGTCTTACCTTAAAAGAGGATTGTCAACCTTAAAAACTTGCAAAACTCAAGCTTTTTTAGTAATAAATTGTGGCCGAGAGTGCCAAACGCCTTGGAGAAGTTCGTCAATGCAAGACCAATGCCTAATCCCCTTTGGCGAATATCTTCGAGAGCTTTAAACATCGCCGTATTTATATCTATCTATCGCTGCTTACCCCAAAAAAAAAAAAGACGAAAGAAGTGAAAGAAGAGAATTGTCGTGCTCTGTAATATGGAATGGGCGCAGTTGATATCTCCTATTTTCAGAATAAAAGTTTTTGTCGTAGACGCATGTGTGGGCCTTGTTGTGGGCGTGTCCTGGAAAAAGTTTAAGTTACTTCGAAAATCTTTTGTGCAATTTGTAGGCGATATCTTCATTTTCGCTAACGGGAGAATGTTTACCACAAATACCACAAGATTGCACAAACAGACAGATGCACAACCGAATAGATGGACATGTTTAGGTGCATTCCAAATTTAAAACTGGCCAAGTATTTGGATACTTTATGGGATTTTTGAAGCCTGTTTGAGAAAACTATTCAATTTTGATACACTATAACATTGGGTAGGCGTGGACACTTTTTTCCATTTTTTTATAGGTACTAAAGCGTTATCCGTAATATATATATATATTCAAGTTTTTGTACATGTATTTGCTATAGTTTATGAGTAATGGGGAAAAAACCAATTTCCCATTTCTTTTGAAAAACAGAGATGTCCTCAGTTTATGGTGTGCAGTAAATGTGTCCTTCAACCGATTTAGCCGTTATTTTCAATACCTACCTGCATAGAAGAACTTTCAATATTTCTGCTAAACTTGATGTCGATAACTTCTTTTTTGCGGCCAAGAGAATGTTTAAGACAGACGGACAGACGGACAGACGGACATGCTTAAATCTATTTAGAATTTGATGCTAATCAAGAATATATATGCTTTTTGGGGTCTCTGATAGTTCCTTCTGGGCATTGCAAACGTTTTAAGAAAATGAATATACCTCTCATCCTTCGGTGATTGGTATAAAAATTAAATAATTCATTTAAACATTTTACTAAATACATATTATTTTGTGCACTACTACTGTGCATCTTATGAGTCGATGTATATATGATATAGATCCATTATTAGCCCTTGTCCCGATTCATAATCCGCTCAGAGTAGTTTGCAAGAACCTAAATGACGTCTATCGCTTATTCTCGTTATCGGACTCTTTGCAATCCATTTAAGCAACATTGCTTAATACGCGCGATTTACCTATGTCGTACTTAAACTAGCTTTTATCCTCAAAAGATGTTACGATTCGAAAATGAATTGTTTGTTAAGTATTATCGGTTGCCAGTCTTATGCATATTTGCGATGGCTTAGGGGTTCATTTGCAATTTGGTCCTGTACCGGTTGTAACTGTGGCTCTATGCTGGTTGTCTACATGCTTTTTGTTTCTTTTTTTTGTTTTTCCTTCTTATTTGTTTTATTGTACTTGTACCAAGTTTTATTATTTATTTAATATAAGTTTTGCTTTAAGTGCCAATTGAACTCGGCTGTTATTTGTTTGTAGTCGAGTTTCATGTATAAGTAGAATTAAAATAAATAAATAAATAAATAAATAAATAGATATAGAAGATAGGTTAGTCATGTATCTTTTTTCATAAAAATTACCATGACTGGTATTAATATCGATTTTCATATATTTTTTTAACTCTTTTAATTTGCAACCGTATAAGAAGGAGAAGATAAGTGTCGAAATTTCAATTGATATATAGAGCTAAACAGATAATATCCAAATAAGTATTAAATATTAACTATCCGTGTGGTCGAAAAACATAACTAAATCGATCGTACGCTCATCAAAAGTAAAATTATCGGCATTTTACGTATAAATAACTATTTACGCAACTTGATGATGTAGTTCCCCGTAAAAACATTTGAATTTGTCCAATTGATTATATATAGATTTCTCGGGAAATTGTAAGTGGAATTTGTGGAGTAATATATTTCTAAATATTAGAACATATCTTTTTTCAATTATATAAATAAGTAAGTACACGTGTATTATTGTTATGTACCTATGGTAGCGGCAGAAGATTTATCAAATATTTGTAATGCAAGGGAATACGCATCACGGGCTCTATAATGTGAGCAGCGGAATGGATTTAATTGATCTAGTCGATCAATTGCAATTGTACTTTGTTTTATGACCTAACGGTCATCGCTAGTCTTAATCCTACCGGCGAAAAATCGATAATTATCTTATCTTATGACTGATAACCAAACTTTGAGATTGATTTTATAATTTTCCCATGATGTGTGGAAAAATTAAATAAATCAAGCTTAGGATAGCAAAAAAAAACGTTGTATAAAAATAGACGAGTTTGCTATATATATATATATATATATATATGTAATGCCCAGAACTATGTATCGGATATATAATTTTGATTGCAACTAGGGGCATCAATTCAGACGGGCCGGTTTGTCCCTCTGCTAACACTTTTTATAGAAGAGCAAATTTGATTTCAAATTTTTTCTTATCGCCGTTGTTGAGTTAAGATAGCATGGCAGTAAAATCGGTTGATGAACTCGCTCGCAATTGTTAAAGAATTGATAACATTGACCTTTCCTTTTTTAGAGCATATAGAAATAGAATTTGTTCTTCAGCTGTTTGAAAAACATATTTGATTCTGCTGTGATGGGATTAAGTGTAGGGGGAGGGTGGAGTTAAGATGGAAAGCCAGTAAGTAAAATTTGGTTGATGAACTCGCTCGCAATTCTTAAAAAGTTGATAACATTGACCTTTTCCATAAGTTACGAATGATCTTTTTCAGAGCAAGTAAATTGGATCCAAAATTTTCTATCACTCAAATCTACGAATTAAATTCGTAAGTCAATTAGGTCCGAATATAATTTTAATGTATAAACGTTATCGCCGCTTTAGTTACTCTATAAAAACTTTTTTACTTGAAGTAAATATTTTGTTGGAAAAGGTTAGGATTATCCGTTTCTTGATGACGAAGACTTTTCTAAAAATGAGAGAGATTTCGTTTTTTCGACACGTTATTGCTTCATAAGGACATTTCATGGCCTTCCATTGTTCGTGTTAGATCAATAAAATTTATTTTCCTGCTTGATTTAAAAAAAAATTGCAAAAGTTGTGAAATATATCTAATAGACTTCTCAGGGTAGCTATCAATGGCATGTGTGCGGTGCTTCATTTATACACTGAAATTTTCGACTATTTTGAGAAATATTTGAACCATAATTTGCTTGGGTTTATTGGGTTCATTAATTATTAATTCTGAGCATATTTGTGGTCCGATAGGGTTTACTTTTGCTTCGCTAAATATTTATATTGCCTTTCGATCAATAGGTGTTATGACTTATATGAGTTCAAATTAACTGCTTACTGTGGACGTCTCACGTGTAATTTTAGAAAACTAAAGAGTTTTTCTTCATGGTTCAATAAGGTCTAAAATATCTAAATATATATGACAATATAATTTTTTTTTGTTTTTTATAACATTCATTTATAGTATATACGTAATCAGTAGAATAAATATTCATGCGGACATGATATATAATGTGTGTGATGTCGACTTACTTATAAACCGATATATCGACTTACTATATAACTTACTTACAAACCGTTTGAAAGTTGATACTGACTTGATTTAAGTTACAATCTTCTCTCATATATGCTCAGCATATTTTAATGAAATACAAATAAATCATGCGAAGTGATATTATTGTGTTCGACCAACATATGGCTAAATATATATATATATATATGTATATATATAAACAATAATTAGAAACACTATATTCTTTAGACGCGTAGCTTTAGAATGAAACATATAGAATCATAAACCAAATATGCCATTTCCCAGCAATATAGATTTGTATTAAACATATTCGTTATGGGAATACTTATCCCGTTATTTATATCATATAAACGAACACGTTCAACATCAGTTAATTAATGTGATGCAGAATTTATTCGCTGAAGAAGCTTTGAACTATCAAGATGTGGTCCACGTTAATTAGATTCGCAATTGTTTTAATATCGGTAGCCCTAAATGCTTCGCAGCCAAATTATACTAACTTTAGTATTTCAAGTCGGATTGTCGGTGGCGAACCGGTAACAAATAACCAAATTCCATGGCAAGTTGCTTTGCTTTATGGCGGTAGTCTCGTGTGCGGCGGTTCAATAATAAGCCCATATTGGGTTGTAACGGCAGCGCATTGTATATTGGCAAACGCTCATTTCACTGTACGAGCTGGCTCGATTTTTCATCAAAAAAATGGCCAAATTCGAAAGTCCAAAAGCATCATTATACATAAACGATTTAATATAGAAACTATGGATAACGATATCGCTTTGATTCGTCTCGATTTGCCTTTTATTTTCGATAAAGCCGTACAGCCTTGCCGCTTGGCAGAGTTTAGAAGAAATTCACCTCTAAAAGTGGTGGTCAGTGGTTGGGGTTTAACTAATGAAAACGCCACAACACTTTCCAATTATCTTATGATGGCAAAAGTATCTATAGTGACACCGTCAGAATGCCAAAAAGCTTATGGCGAAATTAAAATAACAAAAAATATGATTTGTGCGGTAGATCCTAATAAAGACTCTTGCTCAGGAGATTCGGGTGGGCCACTATTTTTTGGAAACGAACTAATCGGAATAGTATCGTTTGGTATTGGATGCGCACGTTCCGACTATCCCGGTGTATATACATCTGTGAGTGGATTCAATTTATGGATTAAAAGAAAGATCTCTGAACTTGACGGTTCAAGGCCAACATTTAGTTAAGTTCATGAAAATGTTGAAATGTAAATGACTAAATAACTAAAAATAAATGAGTTCAAGCATTATTTCGAAAAAAAAAGGTATTGTTTCAATGACAAAGGATATTTTGGTCCGACCTATTTTGTTAAATCTCTGCCTCTATATATAGTAAGTAGTTTCGCATATTTAATTAAGAAAATCGATAAAGTTCGAAAGATTTTCATATGAAAACCTTATCGGAGTTAATAATGCTAACTACATGCAGATATAATGACTTTGGCAATTTAGACGAAAAATGTAAGGCGTTCAATTTGTCAACTTTTAAATATTGAATTGTTAAAAAGGATACAAAATCTATAGCATTTTACAAATTTAATACTATTTTCGTTGGTATTTTGAAGGCAGTCAAAAATGAAGATATATTTTTAAGAAAAAAATTCATAGAAATTAAGAAGGAATAGGTGATAAATCTGAACAAAATCGAAGAAAAACAAATATAAAAATAATATAATTGGCCGTGATTTATTCTCTTATACCCATCACCGTTACCCTAAAAAACATAATAAAAGTGGGACAACTCAACTTTCATAATCTATGATACGGAGAGGACGCGGCTGATGTTTTCTATTTTCAAAATAGAAGTTTTTGCCGCATAGTCGTGTGGGCGTTGTGGGCGTGTGTTCTGGAAAAAGTTTAAGTTACTTTGAAAATTTTTTCTAAATTTGTAGGCATTAATTTTATTTCCGCTAATGAGAGAATCCTTACTACAATTACTACATAGTTGTACAGACGGACAGACGGACAGATGAATGGACGAATATACGAATCAAATTATTGTACGTTTAGCTGCTATAGTTTATGAGCAATGATTAAAAAACAGAGATGTCCTCAGTTTACGTTGTGCCGTAAATGTGCCCTGCAACCGATTTAACCGTTATTTTCAATACCAACCTGCATAGAAGAACTTTCAATATTTCTGCTAAACTTGACGTCGATAACGTCTTTTTGGCGGCCAGGAGAATGTTTAAAACAGACGGACAGACGGACATGCTTAAATCGATTTAGAATTTGATGCTAATCAAGAATATGTAGACTTGCTGGGGTCTCTGATGCTTCCTTCTGAGCGTTGCAAATGTTTTAAGAAAATGAATATACCTGTCACCCTTCGATGATGGGTATAAAAATATAAGGCGTTAATCGAAATGATCTTGGGTAAGTAATGGTAGGCCGAGGCCTGATCGTCATTAAGTAATTGCATTTGAAAAACTCGCTGCGTTTCGAAATATTAGGTTGACTAAAATAATAAAGCTTAAGAATTGGCATAGATGGACCTGCACAAAACGTGGCAAAGCCCACATTGTCGCTAAGTACGGTAATGTCTTAGTTTAAGTGTGACTGGAAGGGCATTGTGCATCGTGAGGTGCTTCTGTCAGCAGGTAACGCGATTAGAATATGGCAATGAAGTTAAGTGTTTAGAATTGTTTAATACGTAAAGCGTTAACTTCCATCATATCGATATTAAGGAATAACTCAGAAAATATCGGGACAGCTTGACTGACAGAGCTACGATGATATCGCCCCAACCTAGTTCCGTTTGTTTAGCTCCTGAAGTATTCGCTTCGTGATGTGAAACTAAACTTAAAAAGCGCTTGTGAAAACCACTTCGATCAGGTCTTTACCCAGAACTTCCATAGTGATAGTATACTAATTTTACTAGAAAACAAGTGAAAACATTATAATCGGGCTGGACCGATACCCTACTAAATACCCTATACCACATTGTGTAATACACTTCCTATTTTTATCATAGAACTCAAAATTATATCAATTTTCATCATAACATATTGCAATCTAGACTTTTACGCCCTAAAAAACAAAAATTTTCGTAGAAATCCATATATAAGATAGGATTCAAAAATAGGCATATGTGGTCAAATTTGATACAAAGAATTTTTTTATCTCAAATTTTAATCTGATTTTCCTCATGAAGCATTGAAATTAGACCTATTTGTCATATGAATTACAGTTTAGAGGAGGTTAAAAAGTTGCCCCAGCCTGGCCAAAGTGCCATATCAATTTAGAATGCCTGAATACTTCTTACTCAGCCACTTTTGCCGAGAAATTTTGAAAATTGGAATTTCTTTCATTATAACGACTTTTAAGAATAGAGCGTTATATGGAAAAGGGTTGAAAAAGTGGGCACATCCAAACCAAATTTGATCAAAATATCTCACAAATTGCGATCCGGGCCTCAAGCACAAAGTTGTGTGGACGGACTGGCCGTATAATATAAGATGGATGTATCTTAAGCGCTTCTGCGTGTTACATACATCCGCACATACTTAATATACAATGTACCACAAGTGGTGTAGGGTACAAAATAGCAGAAGTTTATCGACGAAAGTGACACATATTTAATTTAACAAATATTATTGAAAATTGTTTTTGAAATTTGGGGGCAAAACGTCATGTGCTTTTTCTTAGATCTATTATATTACGCAGCTGATTCTTCTTCTTGCTCTCATAACAATCCCATGAAAATAATGCCACAAATTTGTTTTATTGTCATATATATATATGTTATTTTATGTGTGCACATATAGGCAAGCACTAAACGAGTGTGTGTTGAAAATATATATATCGTCGTGTACGTGAAAAAATAAGTAAAGTAAAAAGTATAATTAAAATATGAAAATTATAAAGGAAATTTTATAAATTCAATTTCTAGAACAGCTTAAAAATGATGGAATGACTTGGGAAGTAGGAAACCATTGATGCCTTCAGATTAGCAACATTTCGTAAACAAGGAATTTTATTTACTCAATTTATTGTTGTTCTTTGTATATCGAGTGTATCGATAAAGAATTGTTTTGCCAGAACGGCTGCTACGTTGACATAAAGGTCGGTCGATTGGTCGGCTGCATACTATCTACAAAACTGGAGCAGGAAGAACATCAATGTTGTCCTGCTCTAAAGCTAGCAAATATAACAAATTTAACAATTACCGATGAAGTTTTTGTAAATAATGTCAATTCCGATATTAAGCATTTCATAAGGCAACGGTGTGGTAACAGGTGAGCGGAATGTGTGTAATGAGCAAATTCATTTTATTACACTTAATTTTTTTTAATCGAAAAGTATATTTAACATCAGATTCTGTTTTGTAAAATTTTTGATTTCGTTACAAAGTTTCGATACTAAGAATCCATAAACCGCTATATATATATATATATACATATACACGTCTTTTGGAATTCTCGTTGGTAATGTGATTTTTTTTTTTGCACGCCATCGGTTCGGCATTTTCGGTGAATTAAATCGTTATATGAATAACAATTTATCGATTTTAAATGCCGCAATGAAAAACAAGCGACAATTTGGTTTACTAAAAAAAAAAAAAAAATAGTCTCCTATAGAACCGCTATTTAAAATGAAGCCAAATGATAAGATAAAACTTTACCACAGCGTAAAAAAATTTTATATTAACTTTGTGGTATTCAAATACTCCGTCATCGTCCCTCGTTACCCCCGAAAGGATTTTAGTAGTCCAATAGCCAAAGACATGTAATAATATTTTTGTACATGAAGTATACGCTTCAATAACAAAAACTTGACCATTTTGGAATTAACCCTCTAAAATGCCTAATAATACAAATTCATACTTATCGAGTTATATATGTTACTTGAATTATTGAGATTTTTTATATAAGTACGTCATGCGAGATAAAATCAAGATCAAGAAGACCAATCGTTGCTCTATAATAATATCGAGTAATCGTCATTGAATCATGTAAATCACTGCTTCACTGGGTTGGGATACACAAAAAGTATTACTTATAAGGATGCGATTATTATATTATACAGTGCACTCACGACAGCTGATAAGCCTAAGAAATGTTTGAAATTTTGTATTATCATATTTGTGAAATTTATTTATTAAATCGATTCGCCAGCGATGAGGAACACTATATCTTGAAGATAAGACATTGTCTCACGTATATTTTATTTCGTTGTTAATATGAAGCACGACAATATTTGCAAAATTGAAAAAAATAAAAAAATAAATAAATAAAAAAGTTATCTCGCATGTCCACTACTATGCTTTTCGCATTCTACTCTCCAAGTTCTTTTATTTGACACCCATATCGATGGTATTATTAACAACAAATTAATCGCGATATCAACCAAATTCATTTCAGAATTAACCCTTTCTTGGGCTGGTAATAAATCTTCATTCGAGGAATGTACAAAGCGTTTTTAAACATTCGGTCTTGCTTGCCTTGTGATAAACAGTAGAAAAAATATATTATTATTATTATTATTATTTTAATTTTAGACAAATGAATTGAATTCTTAGACTAAAAAAAAGACATTGAGCACTAGCAACACAGGCTATCGGCTCTAATTTAAATAAATGGATATTAGATAATAAGCTTAGTAGTATTAATAAAGTAAAATATTGAATTGATATTCTGTTCTGAAGCTGATTGTAGAATGTTCAAAGGGTTAATCGTTCCAAATGCAATACTTCTAGCCAAGGAAAAGTTGAGGCAGTCGCAGAGAATGTGCTTTATAGCAAGAGTTTGTCCACAACAGCAGATTGGGGGAGAAGACTTCTTCAAGATCCATTGGTGAGTTGCAATTGTATGACCAAGGCGAATTCTCGAAAATGTTTGGATCTTGGTTTTCTCAACATGTGTTGGATATAGAGGTGGAGTTAATTGAGGGTTAATGCAAGAGTAGTGTTGATGATGGTATTGTAAATTTCCTTCTGCAATTTTCTCTTTAACTTTTCTTCCAATGTATCTTTGAAGATCCAACTTTTCCATGACATCATCCATAATTAGAGGAGCAGAAGCAGCATACTTTACCGCTCGATCAGCCTGCTCATTTCCCAGTAAACCGATGTGACTTGGTACCCATAACATTTTAATTTTTCCGTCGGGTGTAGTAGTTATATTCCTTAATTTGTTGATGGTGCTCCATCTCGAAGTCGAAGGGTTCCGGGTAGCTTGTAATACAGACAAACTGTCAGTAACAATGACGGCTTTGAGTTTGTTTTTATGGGCAAGGTTGGCAGCGTGAAGGATAGCTCTGGCTTCGGTTATGAAAGTTGAAGTGCTTTCGTGAAATATGTGGTTGAGAAGAACCCGTCCTGTAGCATCTACCACCGCACAAGCAGGAGGCAGACCAGGAGATTTTGAGCCGTCTGTGTACAAAAGATTCCAACCAGTATTGTCCAATACTTGGGATTTCTCAGCTATTAGATTCCTGAAGACGTAATTTGGAGTATCTTCTTTCTTGTGCATAGACAGTGAGATGTCAAAAGAGCAGTCTTTCAAAATCCAGGGAGGTTTAACACCAAAAGAGCGGGAAATTTTTAAGGGAATGTTCAATTCCTTTGCGATGCACAAACAATGGTCAATTGCAGATGGTGACTTTGGAATTTTCTTCGCAATAATAATCTTTCTTACGTCATCACCGAGAATGGATTTGTTTGAATTAAGAAGCTTAGGGACTATTTTAGCTTTTAACTCATACAGTCTATTTTCTAAAGTTGGGAGACCAGTTTCAATTATAATATTATTTATGGGCGTCGTCCAAAAAGCATACCAACTTGCTCTAACGGCTTGGTGATAGACCGGTTTAAGGATGTTGATATTAGATTTGCAGCTATAGCCATAAATTATCAAAGCATAGTCAATCTTGCTTAACACAAGCATTATGGTAAGATAAGCGACAGTGTTAATATGCGCATGGCTTCTACAAGCAACGTACTGTATGAAATTTACCCTTGTTAAAAGGGAGTTTTTTAACCGAAGGCAGGGTGCTTTCCAACGATAATTGTTTGAAAACGTGAGCCCGAGAACATGGAGCGTCTGCACATTTAGTACGGGTAAGTCGTTAATATGCATCAGTAGGTTTCCTGCATCGCACATTTGTTTTCGACAAATGTGCATTTTTTTGGATTTTTTGGAGAGATTATAGCTCCAGACGAGTTTGCCCATGTGGAGATCTCACATGCAATAGATTCGAGGATGTTGATTGCTTTCGTGTTGTCTTTTTCTTTTGTAAAAATGTATACATCGTCCGCGTAGAGACAATGTTCCACTCTTGGTACACGGCAAAGAATTTCGCTAATTTCGTTGAAAGCGATCTGGAAAAGCGTGACAGAGAGAGAAGATCCTTGCGGAATGCCATTCTTTAGCGGAAAGGAATCAGAAAGATGATTGTTGATTCTAACTTTGAACCGCCGATACGACATGAATGATTTGATGTAGTTGAAGAATTTGGATCCAACATTCCATGATTTCAAGAGTCTTAAGATAACATGAAGACCAACTCTGTCAAATGCTTTTTCGAAATCAATTGAGAGAATTGTTACGTGATTTCGTTCGGAAATTGCTTTGCTTGTGAAATAATCAATATGTAACAGAGCGTCGATGCATCCTCTACCCCGCTTGAAACCAACTTGTTGCTTTGTTATCAGGTTCTTGGATTCAAGAAACCAAGATAATCTAGATGCCATAATCTTCTCTAAAACCTTAGAGAGGCAAGATAAAAGAGAAATTGGGCGATAATCAAATGCGATGGAGACATTTTTTGACTTTGGTATTGGAACAACTGTTGCCAGTTTCCACATGTAGGGTATATGGCCAGTCATAAATACCGTATTATATAGGTCCAGTAATTTCTGTTTACTAGGCTTGGACATAGCACTGATCATTTGGTATGAGATGCGGTCTAGACCAGGTGTCTTCCCCTTCAAATTGGAGAGACAACTTCCAAGTTCTGAGGTAGATACGCAATTTTCCAAGAACATGGCACATCTATCGATATTATTTGAAGGAGATATTGGAGTCCTTTTATTTTCAATGAAAGCACTGGAGAAGTTGCTGTCAGAGGAGTATTTGCACCACACTTTTCCAAAGTAATTAGAAATCTCATCTGCGTCAATTAAAGTTCCATTGGGAGTGCAGATGGCAGAAATTTGGTTCAGGTTTGAAGTCCCATTAAGTCTGTTGATTTTGTTCCAGACAACTTTCATTGATGTATTTCTGTGAATTCGTCTCGAGAAAAGTTCGAAACTAAGTGCCTTTGATTTCCGTAATTCCTTCCTGAATAGAGCATTGGCCTTTTTGTATAATAACAAGTGATTCTGATCAGGACATCTCTTAAAGCGGTGCCATAGATCCATTTTATTTTTCCTCAAAAACGAAAGCGTGTTGTTCCACTATGGAACCCTAGCTCGTTTAAAAGAGGTGTTGGATTGAGGAATAGAAAGATGAGCAGCCGTGCGAATCGCTTTAGACATAATAGCAGCATCATGGTTGCAGTTTCCGTTAAATGGCTTTGAGTTCAAAAATGACTCCACCTGTTTGGAGTAATTGATCCAATCCGCTTTATCTAGGAGGAATTTGGCCTGTTTTGCTGGAGTGGCAGAAGACGTTGAAAGTTTAAGATCGATTATGATTGGAAAGTGATCACTATTATGTAGATCATCAGCAGTAGACCAGGACACCAAAGGAAGAAGTGATGGAGAGCAACATGTTAAATCAATATGTGAAAAAGTATGATGAGTTGAGAAGTGCGTTGGTTTTCCATCATTTAAAACGCAAAGGTTGCTTTGAAAAAAGGCCTTTTCTAAAACAGTACCGCGAGTGTTGTTCACTGTTGAGCCCCAGATGGTATTCCAGCTGTTGAAATCGCCGCATATAATTAATGGGGGGGAAAGTACGGAGAATAAACTGTAGAGTTCTTGCTGAGAAAACGATTGCGAAGGTGGAATATAGAGCGAAAGCACTGTAAATTTTATATTTAACATTATTTGTATCGCTACGGCTTGTATATTTGAGCTTAAATTTATGCGTTTGTGAGGTATACTTGATTTTATAAAAATACCTACTCCTTGTTTGGAATATGAGTTTTGATCAGCATTCGTGAAGTATCCAGTATATGATTTGGGTGGAATAGGATTAAAAGAGCTTCTACAATGGGTTTCTTGAAGCGATAAAAAGGTTGGATTAAAATCACTTATGAGTGTACGGAGTTCATCAAAATTATTAATAAGTCCCTTAATGTTCCATTGTAGAATTTTAAAAACTTTATTTAATTGTAATGACATGTAAGCAGAGTGGAGTTGACATGGGAGGGTTAAGTTGACATGTCAGCGTCTCCGTCGAGAAGGTCGTTATAGGAATTTTTCGTGAATGATTTATTCTTACCAGCAGAATAATCTGTATTTAGGTGATTTGGTACATTTGAAGCGCAACGAGTTGGCGCACGTGAATAATTTGAAATTGAAGGTTGATTAATGGATGGAAGAATGGATTCATTAACACTTGTGATTTGTTGAGTAAAGTTGAGAGCTGGAGATTCTGGAGAATTTGGTATATTAGATTTTAGCAAATGTGTTGTTGTTTTAATTTTTTCAATATTTGCAGTTGCTTTGGTTTTCGAAGGTTGATTAATGGATGAAAGAATGGATTCATTACCACTTGTGACATGTTGAGTAAAGTTGAGAGCTGGAGATTCTGGAGAATTTGGGATATTAGATTTTAGCATATGTGTTGTTGTTTTGATTTTTTCAATATTTGCAGCTGCTTTGGTTTTTTCAATATTATCTATGGCAAGTGATGTAACTGGTTTCGCAATATAATTTTTGGTTAATGGTGGAACAGGTTTTTCATTGGAAGCAGTTGCAGTTAAAGTCTTACTAGGCTCGATTTGCGAGGCAACAGCAGCATAGGTATTACTTTTGCCAATTCCATGAGCTACAGATGGATTTCTTTCCCGGTATGTGCGTCGCGCTTCGCCCATGCTACAGTAATTTTCTGTTTTGATTTTTAATATTTCACGCATCTGTACAAAACGTGGGCATTGTTTGTCTAACGCTGAGTGTTGATCATTGCAATTTATGCAGAAACTACGGATACAGCTTTCAGTATGTGGAGGATGACCACAGTTAGCACAAGATGCAGCATTAGTGCATCTTTTTGCCGTATGACCCAGGCGTTGGCAATTTTTACACCTCATAGGATTTGGGATGTATAGTTCTACTTTACATTTATACCACGCCACATCAACTGTTCGCGGTAATCGATAGCGATCAAAAGTTAAAATAATCCTTCCTGTAGGAGAGCGTGTTTTTCCTTCATCATTCAGTTTGGTTAATTTATATACTTCAGTCACTCCTTGAATGCCCATTTCGCGAACAATTTCATCTTCCGGCACATGCTTTAAGCAAGGGGCATAAATTACGCCTCGAACCGAGTTAAGTTTCTCACGTAGTTTAGCTGAAATAGCACATAGATTAGCTAAAGATTTGGCCTTTATGAGTTTTTCGGTTGCGCGCGGGTTCCCAGCGAGGACCAGTAAATTCCCATCGCGTAGAATCGAGATGGAGTCGATGTATGTTGTAATGCTATCTAGAGCTTTTTTTATAGCAAAAGGGCTAATTTGGGAAATTGTTATTCGAGCATCGGTTGAAGAAATAACAATATATTTTTTATCAATAGGGGTTATATCGCTGACCGGCAATACCGGAAAATCTGAATTTTTACTTTCTTTTCTTTGGGGGGATGTATCACTTAATAGATAAAATCTATTCGAGCTTTTGTCTGGCGGCCCCGGGGCCATTATGCCTTATTGTTGTCTATTGCTTATTATTTGTGAAATAACCACTCACTTGAAAAGGTTTGGGAACTGTGTAAGAAGGTTGGGAACTACTAAAGAAAAGTGTCAAATGTTTTCAATTTTTTTTTTTTTTATTTTGTTTTTTTGTTTTCTATTTTTTATTATATATAGACGAAACAAAAGCACATACGCGATATCCGCGTTAAGCAGTTTTAGCAATAACACTGAAAAGACAGAAGTTAAATACACAAAAACACCGAAAACACCGAAACAATTGAAAAAACGCAGACGAAAAGAAAACACGCACTACACTGAACACAAGTCGACTTGACAATGTAGAAAAAATATAATTGAAGCACTTGTAACGTTGTCTGGGCATGGCTGACTTTTTCCATTTTTGCACATAAAGATTAGAGTGGTTCATGGGGTAAATGTGGAAAATTTCAGCCTTCTGACTTATAATTTCCAAGTAACTAGCAAAAACCCACAAATTTTTGTTAAGAAAACCGAAATTTCGTTGATTTTATGGTCCACTGCGGACTACTGCCGTGACCAATTTAGACCATTTTCAATACCAGCCGTTATGCTAAAAGTGCGAATGTCTCCACTAAATTTGGAGTCGATATCTTCATTTTTGCGACCAGGAGAGTAGCAAGAACAAACACCATACCGATGGACAGATATGGTTTAATTAATTCAGAATTTCATGCTGATCAAGAATATATATACTGAATAGGGTATCCGATTCCTCCTTTTGAGTGTTACATGCACTTTGAAAGAAAACAAAATACATAAGCTATGAAGCAAAAAAAAATTCCTTCAGTGGTGGGTACAAAAAAATACTTTCCAAAGCAATTTTCCAAGAATATTGAATTTTTTAACATACTTTGCGTTATAAATGTTAAATAAAATATTTCTCGTTTCTCCTGAATAATTTCAGCGTTTTACTGTTTCCTCCTGTTAATAATTTCCGTCGTTTTTTAATACATCAAATATGTGAGCAATTCCGGCCGAAATATAATGTTTTGACGTTCTCTGTGGGTCAAGGATATCTACGTCGAACAGTTGTTTGTTTTAAAAGCCAACTTCTGAATGTGCATAAATTTGGTAATAAATCAACTTGTGGTGCTGGCCTAGATTTCGAATTGTAAGTCACTGAATTTTCATTCAAAATAATTTCACTTTTAAAAAAATTTATTCATAATTGTTTAAAAATGCAGGCGTAGCAAATACGAGAAAGAGGTAAAAAGTTGGCGCAGCGGCCTAACTTATAACGAGTTGAATAATTTGCCCAATTATAAAAGGACGGCGGACATTAGTCCGCCTCCTAATCAAAAAATGGGGATTGAGAAAAGCTTGCACGACCAAAAATGTAAGTAGTACTATGATGCTGATGATCTAAAAAAAATATATGACTATAAGTCAAGTCGATGTATTGAAGACTCGTAAACCCCATGTGACACAAAGTCGGTATGTTATTCAAACCGTTTCGACATATAAGCGAAAAAATCAGCTAACAAACGCACAAATTATACGAGACTTACGGCGCAGGCATAAAAAAAGAGAAACATCGAAATAAATATGACTTGTGGGTTGAAAAGGTTCATTCATTTCTTCGACGCAAATAACTATGATAAAACATTTTACAAAAGCTTATTTATAAGAGTGTGCTAATTTTATTACACACTTTCTAATAACTAATATACGTCTAATACTTTCAATTGACGTATGATATTACGATAACCTAAATGCAGTGCAGTAATTTAGGTCTCGAATCAATGTGAAATGTTCGCTTTTAAATTAAATTTGAAATTTGCCAGAATTTTTTATCTCCAATTACTTTACTAAAGGGGATAAATTAAAAGAATGATCGAATAATAAAGAAGGTCTAAGTGGCCCTATCAAGATAATCTATATAATGATTGCAATCTAATTCTTACCCTACATGAACATCGACCTGTTCCACAATCTTTCAGTCAGTTTTGTGTATACATATTATCATCGTTTGTAAATCAAATATGACATAGCGTATTTTTCGGATTACAAGACGCACCCGGCGATAATTTATAAGATAATTTTTAGAAAAATGTATTTTAATATCACTTTCGGATCAAGATTTTTATTTATTGCTAATATTGCTTATACTACTAGCAATAATTATCAGTTGCACATTCACTCTCGGTACTATCACTCATCTCGTTAATAATATAGTTTAATTAACATTAATTATAATTGCATATTAAATTAATGTATATATTGTATATATTAGAGACGATTCATTGAAAAATTATTTTAATGTTACTCCCGGATCATAAGATGCACCCCAAAGTTTCACTCCATTTTTCTACGTACAAGAGGCAAGTCTTCTAGACCGAAAAATACGATACGTTAAACGATATCGTAGCGATCCATGAATATGCTATTTAATGTCCAAACGTCATAAACGCAATCTGGCAGCATCTCGTGGATACGTACAAAAAAACTAAAGCGTGAATGCAATGCCTCCATTTGCACCAATTGTCAAAAAACTGAATTTGTACATGTTTACCCATAGTTGAACATATAGCTTGCGTTGCACTGATGCAGCAATGCAAATATTTGACAATTTTTTGATTTTGTTGCATACATTTACGGAGGAGATGGCGATGAAATAAAGTAATATCATATAGTTAGTATTTCAAACATTGTAAGACTTGCCACAAGGCAGTTCCTTAATCCCCATTCCCCTTCCACCTTGACACCGCCAATTCACACCAGCTGCAAATTGCAAAATGTACATGTTCCAATACGCTGATGATTTGCTTACAATTTCAGCGCGAGTACCCTTCGATGATGTCGTTAAGAATTTCGCATAAACAATTCATCTGGTTTACAAACAATGTACGAAATTTAATTTGTCCTTTAATTTTAGTAAGACCAACGCGATTTTCTTTGCCAAAAAAAAAATTGTCGATCCTGTCGATCGACAATATCTGCGTAATCCTTTCACTTGCTCAGAATTATTATCAACTGAAGCTTAAGCTTCTTCCGTAACCACTAAGAAAAGGCTTTCCCAGCTTTATCAAGTTATTTTGCCTAAAACACATTCCGACTTGAACCCTAAAAAAGACCTAAAGTATTTCTAAGTTATTCGTTCGTTCGACAATTAAATTCGCCTATTCATTGGCATGCTCCTATTCCAAGCAGATTGTGAAAAAAGTGAAATCAAGTTTTTCAGAGCAAATGCACGCCACCCTCCCTCAACACCGGTACAAATGCTAAGAGTTATCTTCGGTGAGTTACCGGTGACCGAGATAGCTTTGTTCCTTCCTGCTAAGAAGAATACTTTAAATGGGACAAACGAAACGAAAAGTTCTGTTGGGAATTAACAACTTGTTGTCCTGATAAATATAAATTAATATGTCTTTCTTCCAAAATTGCATATTGCAGTTGCCCGGATCTTTTCACTTTTTCCAAACAATATATCATATATATTACTCTTAACGATTACGATTAAGATTTCGATTTTTGATCATAAAAACATAGCTGTAACAAAGCTACTGTTACTATGTGCTTTCAGCCTTTAATAATTAATAGCGAAAATTCCACTTACTTTTCAAGCATCTTATGTCCTAACTTTTTGTCTTTTTTTCTCTTTCGTTAAATGATAAATTTGATGTTATACCTGTCATCGATGGATGAGGCTTACATTCATTTTCTCAAAACATTCACTAAGCCCAGAAGGAACGTTCAGAGACGCCATATATAATATATATATATATATGTATATATATGAGAGACAAGGTTCAAATTTTGAAACAACTTAAGCATGTCCGCCCGTTTGTCTGGCTATTATAAACATTCTCTTAGCCTCAAAAATGAAGCTATCGACCTCACATTTAGCAGAAATATTAAGAGTTCTTGCCATTGAAAATGGCCAAGGTCAGTCGAAATGCACGTCTATAGTACTGGGCAAAGTGAAGACATCTTTGCTTTTCCTTAGGAATAAAAAAAATTGCTGTTTTTTTTGCTAACTACTCATAAACTGCAGCAGATAAATCTACAAACATTTAAACGTATGTTATATGAGCGATACTGCAGTACCTGCATAAATACGGTAAAAATTGACTATGCCTATCCAATATTATAGAGTGTAAAATATAATATTTTTTTTTAATCGTTCGCAAAAATTAAGATATTGCCTACAAATTTACAAAAAAAAAAGAAGAAAGACGACCTAAGTCGGCTAAAGGGTACGCCTACAATGGCCCCACACCTACGCAATAAAAAGTGTAGAAACGTTTGGTTCCCGTGTTTACTTATTACTTACAAGGTGCAACACAGACGCCATTTCCATTTTTATTAGCCACGCCCATCTAATGTTATAGAATATCAAAACTCCATTTTTTCCCCTTTTTTAGGCTTTTTTTTTTAGAAGAATGGTGATGGGTATAAAAGTTTCGGTCACGACCGTTTCGATTGTTACGTAATCGCGCGAGCACAATAAACGCGCTGTTTTGCATTCAAACATTCTTTCTTATGCTCCTTCCACATAAATTTTCGGCTAAGTGGTATCCTGCTTCTCTACCAAAATGGCAATATTAAAAACTTCGTCATATAACTCTCCTTTCTTGACAGCAGCTATGTCTCTTTTCGAATTGCTTTTGTCACTTTTTCTTTCCCGCTTGGTCGATTTATTGCGTGGGCGTAGTAGGCGTGCTTTTTGAAAAGTTTAGGTCATTTTCAATTTCTTTTGCAAATTTGTAAGCGATATCTTTATTGTTGCGAACGGGGGAAAATGTTTACCACAGATATTGTACGGTCGCGAAGAGACGAAGAGATGGACACATAAACGACCGGACATGTTTAGGTGCATTCCGAAGTGTCGAAATTGGCCAAGAATTTATCTGCTTTATGGTGACACCCTATAAATGTAAGTAGGCGTGGCCGATTTTCTTCATTATTGTAGGGTAATAAAACTTTGCACATAGAATATATGGTCGAATATGCTGTAGTATATGAGTAATGAATAAAAAATCAATTTTTTACTCTTTTGGAGGAACAGAAGTGTGGGCGTGTCCTTCGAAAAATTTGGTTTATTTTCAATACCAATCTGCATGCAAAACCTTGCAATGTTTCTAACAAATTTGAAGTGGATAGCTGCACTTTTGCCGTCAGGACAATGTTTACAACAGAACAGAACGGACCGACATGCTGAAATCGATTTAGAAAATGTCATAGATCAAGAATATGCTCATTTTTGGAGTCTATTAACGGTCCTTGTGGGAATTGCAAACATCTTCACAAAACGAATATAATCCTTATCCTTCGATAATGGGTATAAAAATCATACAAAATTTATTATTAATAAGGAGAAAATGTGTACCCGATTTTTCAAAACGACAAGCGTAACATAGGCCCCCGCTAATTTTCATTCTGTTCGTCTGCACTTTCTCATTCAAATACTCTCCTAAAGACGACACATAACAAAATATGTCTAAAATCACCTATGGATTTCACCAGCTATAGCTTATGTGATTAAATTTTGTAGATTCGTGTATGCTCCAGTTAGATTTCGTGTTGCAGAATCCCTTAAATGAAAGACGCTTCGCGAGAAATATTTTTTCATTTTTTACTATTTTTACTAATATTATTCTGCTACCTTTCGTTCCATCCCGAAAGGTTAGTCAGATGTTTAACCATTAACTCACTCAGTCTTTTGTAACTTCGTTTTTTATTTTGAATTGTCGAGAAAAAGATTTGATGGAAAGGAATTCTCTTTGCAAAAAGAAATTATTGAGTTGAAGAAAGGTTTGGTTGCAGTAAAAAGTGCGTTTATTTTTTATTAAATTAGTTGGCGGAATTTGAAAAAAAAACCAGCAACTGACCCACGCGATTATAACGCGTCGCATGGCCTTCAAAATTACTTGAACGCAAATAATAAACTCGAGAGCAAAGAAATCGCACTCTCCCTACACTTTCACTTCGAATCTACATATGGCATGTTACTTTATTTTGCCAAGTATAAAGGTCTATGAGCTAGTTAGATAAATGCAATTTATATGCAAACCGAAACTACAACATAAGTAACTATACAAGTCAGCTAAATGGCTAACAATGTAATCATCTTGCTCGAAGAGCTCCACACTCATCAATATTCATTAAATTGAATTTATTTTGCAAACCTAAAGTACACAGTTTTAGGTGTTAGGGTTTTGAAAAACCAACAATAACGCTTGCTTTACCCTTGACCTTCAAAATAAAAAACAAATAGAAATATCCAAAATCGCTCATTTCATGTAGCGCTGCTTCTTCTCGCTCTCTCTCTCTCTTTCTGATTGACCCGCGTCGCAAACATCAAAACACTTTCACCGATCGATCTGCTGATCATCGATATTCAACGAATGCTTATTATTAATACAGGTTTTATTGTAGTAGCATAAAAGTCCGTTTTTATGAATTCTCCGAGATATCAATTAATGTTATTTATAAATGTGAATGCATTTATTACGAGAATATATTATAAAAAATTCCTATTTGAATGGATGGTGGGGTAAAAAGATTTAATTATTATATTTAATATTTTTCAGTTGACAAAGCCACATCCGTTGATTTGTATCGTCCACCTGCCTTGAGAAATAATTCCAATACTGTGGCTATTAAAAGCATTTCGCATTCTTCTGCCTTTTCCAACACTTCATGCCAGGTTATATGTCCACTGAATACTACATCGATAACAGCAGCAATACCATTAAACACCGTCGCTTCGTCATGCAACAATTCACCAAGGCATAGAGGTAGCAATAATGCTGTGTGTGTAAGTAATACGGAGACGTACACATTACAACCAGATACCCTATGTACTAAATCGCAATTAAAGGAACAAAAAAGGTTCGTGTATATTTTTTTTGTGAAACTATTCGCAATATTTTCAAAAAATTTCAAAATTTCTACAAAGAGAATAAAAAGTTATGCACACTCTTGTCGTACTTGATTCCATTTATGACCAAAATCCAGCCAATATTTACACAGAGTTAATCATAACAATAACAAAACACATATATATATATATATATATTTGTAACTCGTATGTTTATAAATATTTGTTTGTGTATGCATATCGTGCTTTTATTTATTATAGTCAACACCAGCAGCAGCAGCAGCAGCAGCAGCAACAACAACAACAACAGCCAACAAGACGTGAGCGGCGTCCAGATAGAGCAGTTTATATTCCAAGGGCACGACGTAGTCAAACAACTCCACCAACAACAACTACATCTGTAATAGCGCAAACAATACAACAACCAACTACACCATCTACGCCAATACCAGCTACGGGAACGGGGTCAACAGTAACAACAACGACAACGACAACAATAACAACAAATAATGATATAAGTAAACAGTTATTATCGACTACAAATACCATTATAGCGAGTTCAGTCGATGCCGAGCCGTTGCCGATAACGGATGAAGAAATTGTCAAGCAACAAACGAGAAAATCAAAATCTAGTGCCGCTAAAGACTCACAAGAACGTTTAAAACGAACTTTAAAAAAATCATTGCAAACGTCAAAAAATAAATCACAAAGTAAATGCCTTAAAAACTGCGATCAAACTGCGACATCGTTATCCCCAGCCCTCTTATCCACACCATTACTAACAACAGCAAAAACAATTTTCGGTCAGGAATCAAACGATATTTTTAGTAAAGAAAGGAAATTTGATTATGTGGAGTCTTCGAAATGTTTAAATTGTAATAAATCGCATAAAGACTTAACTGAGATAGCAGGTAAACCGCAAGAAGAGCAGCATTTACACATCAATTCCATACACGACAATTACTACGCTGATTCAAATCAAACATATTCGTCGAAACCAGTGATGGCAGCGTTTGCAGCAACCGTCAGCAACAACGTCACTGACATATTAACTAAACCGTCATGTAAGATTCAAGCAAATAAACAATGTAACACTAAAACGGATGACGAAAAGTTACTTAATCTACGCATTGAAGATGTTACGTCACCGATTAAATGCGATATTGAAAAACAGGAATTACAACGCGCTTCAAAGGTAAGCTCAGAAAATAGTATTTTATTAGATTTACATTTACTTTTTTATTGCATTTACATTTGAATATAATAATAATAATAATGATGATGGGACAGAAGTATATGTGTCTATGTTTATGGTGGCGTTATTGCCTAAACGCTCATACTCTCGCATTTTAACATTGCAGTTGCCTAAAATATGTATTTAAAAGTAATTTATGTTAATTTTTTTTTTTTTTTTTTATGTTTTTATGTCGTTTTAATCGATGCAATATTATAACAGGAATTTGTATTATTCTTCATGTTATTCTTACATAATTATGTGTAAATTGTTATGTATTTTCTATGGCCTGCATATAGGAAATGAATCGGAGTAATCGTCGCATTATGAAACAAACTTTCGTTTCTAATGTTCTTGAAATACCGGATTTTATTGAAGAAGTTGCGTTTGATGCAGAAACGACAATTGAGCAAAACGTTCCAACAGCATCCGCTTTAGTACAAGCAGATGCAGCGACCAGGCCAAATTGTGGCAATGAGGGGGATGACGATTGGGAGAGCATGTATGATGAAAGTGGTGAATGTTTAGATCCGAAGATTATACAAGAATTGACAACATCTGTGGGTAAAGTTAAAATAGAAGTGCCCAAAATGGACTATAGCGTAAATGAATAAATACTTTACCTAAAATATAACAGTGCCTGCAATAACATTATCATTTACAGGCATATTTGACGAAGCAAAAACTTCTTAATGATGAGGAGTTCCCTCACGTTCTCGAAGTATCAAATTTCCCGGTGGAGTTTAAAAATCAAGATCTCCTGATGGTTTTTGCTCAATACAAAGAATCTGGTTTTGATATAAAATGGGTGGACGATACTCATGCATTGGCTGTGTTCAGTAGTTCAACTGTTGGTAAATAAAAGCGAAATGAAACCAATTATTGAATATGAATATACTTTACTTTCATATAAAGCTGCTGAAGTTTTAACAATGGGTCATCCGTTTGTTGTGCTAAAACCTTTGACGGAAGCCACACTTGAATCTCGTCTTAAAGCTAAAAAATGCGCTGCGTCTTTACAGCCATATCGCCCGCGTCCCGAAACATGTGCCGCTTTGGCACGACGCTTAGTGACTGGCGCATTAGGTGTCCGTCTAAAGACTGCAGCCGCTGAAAGAGAGAATGAAAAACGAGTATTGCGAGAAGCCAAAGGTAATCAAAAAAAAAAAAAAAAAAAAAAAACGCTCCATCTGCGCTCATTTAATCCCTAAAGTGCACATTTTTCTTCTTTTCTACCCTTTTATTCCTAGAACGGAAATTGCTCGCTGCCAAACAACGAGAAGAAACTTGGGAAAGCTAGATATGGATACTGTTCAGAATTAATTTTAAACTTTCTGACATGATAATTTAGTATAATTAAGACCTTTAAGGACTTTATATATTATGTATAAGTGTGTCTATTATTGATAAAAGTATGTCTATTATTGGTTAAAGCTGTTAGTGGGCAGTATCGCGTTTGGTATTCTCACTAAACATTTATTTTTTACATCATCATTTTTCTATACGAATAATTAAATTAAATTCAATTTATTTTACGAAAAGTTATAATTAATTCATAAACATTATATCAAGTTCTTCAAGCAATCATCATCACTACTATGTACAAAGCGTATTTCATCACCAATTTTTGCGCTAATAAAATTTATCAATTTTCTTTAAGAGCATTCAGAATTTTATAAATAAGAATGTATCATACACATACACATATATGTTTAGAATAATAAATAATCTATTTACGCAGCCATAACAATAAACGATGTTTGTAAGTATATTTTACGATCAAGTGTAACATTTTTTGTGATTGCGCCAAAAAAGGCGATTTTATTAAACTGAAATCAAAATGATATACCAACAATAAAAAGGTTTATTCCAGTAAAAAACTAACCATTAAATATCCATTCATTCAGTGCCTACAATATTAGACAATTATGTGCTATCGTATTTGTTGGATAAGAAAGACGTTAGGTAACTGCACATTGTTGTGTTAGTTCTTTGCTTCAATCTGACGACAAACTAACGAAAAGTGAATATGAAAAGTTGCGATAAACAGTGATAAAAAGTCGAGATGGTTGATGGAAATGCAACATCAGAAGTAAGAACGACTTTTATTTACACTTTCTCTTTTCACTTCGTTCTGTATATACCAAGCAGATTTAAATTATGATTCGTTTTTTCTAGAAACAATCTCATAAAGGTCGAAAACTTGAGCAAAAAAAAAAGAAAGAACAACAATCCACCGCAATTTCTTCTAATAGATTTATCCCTGTTCATCGCTGTGCTCTGTGTTAAACTACATGCGCGCCTAATATCTCACTTAAAATATAAAGGATGAGGAATGTGGACGTACTTTTCTATACAAGTAAATACCAGACCCGACTATAAAAATATGGTATGAAATGGTCACGATTTCTGTATATTAATTATCAGTTTTGTTTTCATTTGAAAGGTATGCCAAAATTATCAAATCTATATTACTTCATGATATAGACGAGAAATTTAGAAAAACGTTAAATTTTTATTAAATCAAGACTTCAATACTATTGCAAATAGTACTGTTTAGTAAGATAAAGGAACATGTAAAACAATTATATATTTGGCGGAGGCCGAATTTTGCATGCCCACCACTATGCTTTTGGGCCAATTTCAATACTAATCTGCGTGCAAAAACTTTTAATTCGACCAGGAAAGTGCCAACAACAAATACCACATACACAGACAGACATGGTTTTACTTTGTAGAGTCTCTGAAGCTTCCTTTTGAGTGTTACGTACAATATGAAAAAAAACAAAATGATTATGCGCTCATCTTTCATTGGAGGGTATAAAGAGGTCAAAGATTTTTGCCAAAATGCCCCAATATACAACATTTATATCATTAAATATGTGTAAAATGTGACATTAGTACAAGCGTGTGTCCTGCGTGAGTTTTTTGGAGGGCAATCATATAAGCAGGCGATAATCGCTTGTCTGCCTCTTTTTAGAAGACAATTGATTATCGCAAGAGGCTTATCAGTTGCCATCGTCGTCAGTTTTCCAATAATTTTCCTCAAATTTTCCATTACAATGTATTAATAACTGAGAGAAACGTAAGAAATGAGAGCCAAGTTGACGTTTGTTTTAGTATAAACAAACTACATATGGTAAACAATAGCAAGCATGCAAAATGAAATGAACAGAAAATTATGTAGCATTTGTGGTACGCTATATTTACTTTAATTTAGCTCGACATTTAAGAAAAAAAATTATACTTATTTTTTTTTCTTCGCCACTCACAAATGTCATTTCGGACACATTAGATTTTCTTTAAATTTTGGAATTAAAAACTCATTTTCTAGCAGCTGTTTATATTTTTCTTTCACAGCGGCTCTGTTGAAAAACCAACTCTAAAAAAGGGATTTGTGGTAACTTTGTTTAGTTTATACTCAATGCTAATGCAAATTGACTCTCAACGACAGCAACTTATTGTCGTAACTGAGAGAGCGCGTTTAGCGATAGTCACCAGCAAAATTTATCAACAAGATTAAATTCTTTTGGCGATCACGCTTACATGATTACCCTTCTGATTTTCTACGCTCAATGTTTTATTTTTATATATAGGTAACGTGAATAATTTGTTTGTTATATTATTTTTTTTCCCCATTTTATGACAAACAGGTAAACACCGTTCACACTACACTACTATGTAAACATCAAATTTAGATGTATTTCGTTTCAATATTTCCAAATTCAAAAGTAAAATTCTTTCTGTACCAAAATTGGTATAATTACTTTAGTCCTACACGCAAATCATCTCGTTTTTGAGATACTCAGTCAATTAACAACCAATTAAATCGTTATATGTAATTTATATGATTACAAACTAGATAGTTACGTAACAATTTTAAAAATGTAACATCCCATTGCGTATTTGAAAGTTAATAAGGAAGAATACAAATTTCCAAAATTTGCCGCTATTTCTCGTACTTGTTAAGTTAAATGAAGTTATATTTTGATTTGACAGCGGTTTTATGTGTATCTTGTTTACCCTGTTAATATTCAGTCAAATGTTCAACAAACACATTTTTAATCTAAATAAAGAACTAAAAAACGAATGTTTCTTGAGTTAATAATAACAAATTATGTTTGTTTATTTAAAGAAAAAAAAAAAAAACGGGACAACAATATACAGTGTGAAATATCTAATGCAAAAAATACATATTCGTAGCAACGCTGTTTAAATACTTTTTCAGATGTATGTAAATACCTGCATATGTTTTTTCTATTGTGTGTTGTGATATGGTAAAACAAATTCATTTGGAAGCGTAGGAATAAACACTTGACGATTGGGAATTGATTTTCAATTGTCTACAATTTTGTAATTGAAAATGATTAATGAGAAATAATTGAAAAAAAAAAGAAAAACAACTAATATAATAATTCAAATTTTTAATAGGACATTTTTCAATAATTAAGAGAAAGTGGCTTTTTGCTGATATAATTTTCAATAATTGTATACTGACAAAGCAATAATAGAAAAATTTTATAAAAAAAGTGTGAGTTTGTTGTGTTTAAGTGATTAAAAATGGCAGCTGTTGTGGGTGCTATGGCTGCTTCATCTGTAGAAATAGAAGAATTCATTAATGGTGCGCTTGTAGCTTGGGTAAGTTTTTGTTATATATATATACATATTTATGTACGTGTTCTATATTCCTAAATATGCATATTTAAGAAAAGGCGACAGATATAGTTTATATGTAAGTTACATCTAATGAAAGATTCTTAAATGTTACATTTAGCTGGAATCTTGTTTATGTCATCCGGAAATTCTTTGTGGCTACGATTCCTTACTCGATGGACATATTATACATAATGTGTGGTTACAAATTGATCCAGAACCGTCAACAAATCCAAGAGATATCAATGACCTTTCAGGTGTGCCCTTAGCAATGGCTAGAGTTAAAAATTTCGAGTGCATTGTGCGGAACATGAAACAATTGTTTGAAGAAGAATTTGGTCAAACAATTTTATTATTACCGGACTGTTACACATTGGGCTATCATTCGGAAACTAAGCAGGGCTTGGAACAAATGAAAATTTTGTTAACGTTATTATTGGGAGCCGCTGTGCAGTGTCCCAATAAAGAACATTTTATTGGACGCATTAAAGGATTGGATGTTGACACTCAGCATTCCATTGTCGAGTTAATAAAACAGGTAAACATCTTTTGTTTTGAAACTGAACTATGTGGAAAATTTTGCTTCACTGTATTTTAATTTACGCAGGTAACAGTTAATCACAGTTTAGTATTGAGTGAAGAATCCATTGAGTTATTAAGTGCCCAAGATATGTACAATCACATCGTACGTTTAAGTAGAGAACGCGACAATATTTATCTAAAATGGATATCGGCAATTTGTGCAGAGACCGTTTTAAATCAGTCCACATGTTCAGAAACTCTACCGTCTCTTTCACTTTCCAATGGTGTATCCTCGCCGGTTGCATCGCCATCTTCAAACGAGAAGAACAATCATATGGCTGTTGAGTTAGCAGATTCAAAATCCAGACTAAGAAAATTACGTCAAGAGCTGTAAAATATATCTAAAGTAATTCATAAATAATCTTAATGATCTTACTGTTGTTACACTTACAGCGAGGAGAAGTCAGAAAGTTATCTGGAACTGCGTGAGGAATTCGATCATAAAAATGCGCAATATGAGAAACTTCGCTTGGAAGTATATAAAATTTTAATTAATTTTTGAATTGAGATTGACATGTATTGTTATTATTTTCTGCAAATATAAAGAGTCAAGAGTGGCATGCGGAAGCGAAACGTGCTACCGCATATCGCGATGAATTGGATGTATTGCGAGAGCGATCAGAGAGAGCAGACAAATTGGAAGTTGAAGTGCAAAAACTCAGAGACAAACTTACCGACTCGGATTTCTACAAGATACGCGTAGAAGAATTACGCGAGGATAATAGAATGTTATTAGAAACAAAGTAAATATTATAAAAGACCTAAATGGAACAAGGTTATCAGTTGATTAAGTTGTTCATTATTTTTGCAGAGAAATGCTGGAGGAACAATTGCAAAGGTCACGAAAGAGGTCCGAGCACGTTATGACGTTGGAGTCTGAAATTATTAAATACAAACAAAAATTAAATGATTTGACTTTGGAAAGAGATGCTGATCGATCAAGAATGGAAGAATTAATCGAAGAGAATACACAATTCCAGCTGGCAGCGAAAAATCTAACTAGTACTATCGATATGGATAAGTCGTTTTCAGACATTGACGACGGGTGTAATTCTGGCGATAATAGTCTATCGGAGCAGCTAACAAATAGTGCACAGGTATAGAAATATTAGAAAGTGGATTTTTCGTTTCAATAGTAGTTTATATTCCAATTTCTCCAAACTTTCTAGACTAGGGTATTAAAATTAGAATTAGAAAATCGACGTTTGGCAGCTGCGTTGGATCAAGTAAAAGAATCTGCCTTTCATGAGTCAACAAACAAAATACTGGAACTGGAAAAAGATAAAAAACGATTAAGTTTGAAAGTAGAACAAATGCAAGACAATATTCAACGTTTGATACAACAAAATAACGAGTTGGAGAATCTGTTTAAAAATGCACTGAAAGAAAATAAAAAAATTCAAGACACTTTGGATCAACGTCAAAAAGCGCACGACAAGGAAAGCCAGGAACGCGAAACGGAACGGAATATAATAATCGATTTAGAAAAGCATATAGAGACTTTAACTAAGGAGAAGCAACGGATTCAGCGGCTACATGAAAGCATACAAAGAAGGGCCGACGATTTGGAGAGAACATTAGAAACACGCGGAAAAGAAATTGAGCGATATACAGCAAAAGTTAAAAGCTATGAAGAAACAAAAGAACTTGTTTACGAATTGCAAGGCAAAATTACCGGATATGAACGTGAAAATTCCAGCCTTTCCAGGGAAGTTAATAAACTTAAAGAAAACTTAGAGGGAAAATCGGTGGTATTGGATCAGAAATGTGCCGAAATATCGAAGCATGTTAAGGAAATAAATCGTTTAGTAAAAGCAGTGGAGGACAACGAATTGGCGCACGCTCGTATTACGGAACTTGAAACAAAAAATCACGATTTACTTTCTCAGCACGAGATCGATCTTCAAACTATTTCCACACTGCGCAATGATCTGGTCAATGGTACTTTAGCTACTAATAAAGTAAGACATAGGCTGGAAAAGCTTGGGCTCAATGTCGACCCAATCGCGGATGATAATTCGGACTTAAATGTAGAGACAGTAGTTGAGAAACTAGTTCGTAATCCGGAAACTTTCAAGACTGTCCGTGAAATAATGTTAAATGTATCAAAGCAACAACAAATAAGCGGGAATGCTAAATCTGATATTTGTGTGCTATGCCATCGCAAAGAGGTTTTCACGGTCGAGAAAAATATTGAGTTGTCATCGCTCTCGCCTAATAGGGAGCCACGAGCAGTTAGTTTTGAGCACACTGTACGACTGGGGCCATCCCAAGAAACTGTCGAATTGATACGTTTGTCGGAAGCGAACACGCAGCTCTCTGCCCGCTATGCAACATTGCAATCTATTAACGAAGAATTGCAAGCTGAAAATGCGCGATTTAAAGTAGACGTAGCCACTCTTGGATCTCAAGTCACCTCATTGAATACACAGCACGTAGCTTTGCAATTGACCAATTCTCAGTTAAGTACTGATAAAGACACGTTGCTTAAGAAAAACGAGTCCCTCAAACAAGAGCACAAAAATCTACTGCACGATCAAGTTACCTTACAATGTTTACATGACCAACTTTCGGCTGAGTATGAGTCGCTCAACACAGAGAAAGAACAACTGAAAGCAGTTGCGCGTGACTCGAGGAACGAATCACGCGAATTGAGAGGACAGATTGTTAAATTGGAAAGTCAGGTAAATGATATGAATAGGCAGCAATCGTCAATGACGTCATGCGTTAAGGATCTGACAAATTTGCGCGCAGAGCACTCAAAACTCACAGATGATTTCCGTAATCTATTTGCGAATAGTAGTCGTTACAAAAATGAATTCAAAAATATACAAGAACAGTACAAGCAGATACGTGAAGAGAATAATAAACTAAAGTTGCAAAATACTGAAATGAGCGACGAGTTAACTGGTCGTGTTGATCAAATCAAAATATTGGAAAGGCAGTACAGTCAATCCACTCAGCGTTGCGAGGTATTTTAAAAATTTGCTTAAGAGAATTGTTTAAATAATGATTTGACTACTTTTCAGATGCTGGTGCAACAGAACCGTGACCTTGACTATGAGCGTAAAACGTTAATGGAAAATGTTTCACATTTACTAAAGCAATACCATGAACTGCTTTCACTTTCGCTGGAGGACAAAAAACATTTTCACGAAGAAGAAAAAAGTTATACCGAATGTGTTCATAATCTGACTCGACAGAAAGAAAAGCTTGAAGAAAAAATTATGGAATTATTCAAAAAATCAGAAAGTGCAGTACCAAAGAAGTATAATTGTTTCAGAGCTGTTTCTATTTATTTGATTGCTAATGCGTAGCATTATTATTGCTTTCAGGAAACCGTTTGCCAGCAGCTTAGTGAGGCGGGTTAAAAAAGCCAGTTCTGACTTCATGAGCAAGGTTCCAAGTCGTGTAAGAAATTCAAATATATTAATGGAAGCTTAATAATAAAAATATGGTTATTATTTATTCAGAATCGACGAACTTGGATAGATGACACACGCTCGCCACAGTCAGGATTCATGGTAGGCTCAGAGTCTGGTGGCAATGATTCTGATAATAGCACTGAAGAACCAATTTCGATCAGTTCCGATACTCATTTGCTGCAGCGTAACATACCTATCCGCCAAAGTCTTCAACGGTATGCTTTCAGTTTATTATATATTTTCAACTGACCATAAGGGCTAATAATTTTCGAAAAGATACATAGGACTAATTTCAAGTTTTTTGTTAACATTTTCCGTTTATTTAATTTTATTTTAAATTGTTTTTAGGATTTATTTAAAGATTCTACTCTTTTTTTTTTTTTTTTAACCTCTTGTTGAACATCAAACAAGATTATGTGCGCACAGTTTCCTCTCCTCTTATCTTAATTATATATGCAAAAATAAAATATTGTTTACCTAATTTTATCATACACTGTGCACATACGATTAAAACTTTCGCGTAGAATATTTAGAAAAGTTTACAGAAAAACGGACATAACTTCAGCTCGTCCGGTAAGAGATTTTCGATAGTCCGTCTTTCTCCGTAAGTGGGTTTCTTGACTGTAACCATTTAGGGAATTCTTGCTGGATAGAAAGTGATATCGACCTCCTTTGCCGTCGAAGTAGCTAACTTTACAATGAGAAGTTCGTTTATTCATTATAACCTCCGATCATTTGACCTTTTGGACTATATTAATATAATATATTATTCTGTTAGACAAAAGTGTCTAACTTTAACTGGATAATTAGAACTCTCTTTGTTCTGTTTGAACGCATTGATGGGAATATATTTTGATTTGGTTGTAAATTATTTAATAGTTCGAAGTCCCTCCTTTTACAGAAAGTGTAGAACAACTAACAGAAGCAGTATTTGTTTAAATTGGTTCATTTTTACATATTTACACAAATTATAGCGATAACATGGCAAAATACGATTCAAATTTTATTGGATTATAAAAAATAAATTTCAAATCAAAGCAAATTACAAAAATGGTATCGACGAAAATATCCTTCAATTAGAACTCTTTATTTTACTTGATCTTCATTTCATTCACTCTTACACGTCATTTAAAGAATTATTGTGAGTCATTAAAATTAAGAACATAAACAATAACGTCGGAAACGGCCAAAACTTAAAATACATTTCCAAACGGAAGAGACAAACATTGTCACCGAAAAGTTTACAAGATTTTTTTTTTAAAGTTTTCTATTTCTTTATACCACATGGACCGCCCTTAGATATTTCCTAAGTAACTTAACATAAGAATTATCGAATATAATATTAAATTACTCTTACATATGCCTATAAAAACAACTACATTTACACAGAAATACATTGGATAACTCAATCTCTCGGGGCGGCACACTGCGAAGTAGTCTACAAACACAACGACTTACGGATTTGGGCAATTCGCGTAGAAATAGCATACACGGGTAAATATGATTTCAGGTTTAGAAATTCACAATGCCTTTTATGTCCTTAACAATACAATCTAAACTTGATGTGAGAGGATATTCCCTATACTCAGAAAAGAATGAATTTTGTATGAAAATTTAGTTAACTCTTTTAATGCATATTTTTTAAATTTATTACTTATACTTATCGATATTGTTTATTTCATTTGTCTAACCTTCTTTTTTAACCCAATTTTTTGTTTTACAAATAGTTTGGAAGCACCCGACGTTACGGGCAGTAGTTTAACATTAGGAACAGCTGGCTCCCGGCGTACAGTATACGTTATTGATGAGAATCAAAAAATTCCAGACGCCGCGGCGGGTCAACAAACGACACATATATCAAGTAATACAATCAGTGATAGTCCCACTCCAACTGTGAACAACACAAATAACGTAGCCGAGTCTCAAACACTTACCGAAAGCGGCCAAAAGAACGACAATCCTTCCACATTTCTTGTTTATAATCGTATTAACACCATTATGGGTAACTCGTCGCTTAATTCAAACAACAACGAAGTACATTCAGCGACTACTGCAGGTAATCGCGACGACGACGACCATCAGCAAGATGACAATAAATTATTACGTAAACGCAGTGAAGATAATAGTAATAGTGTTTGGTATGAATACGGATGTGTGTAACATTTACATAATCAAAAATTGAGCTTGCAAAAGAAAATTAGGAAAGTGTAGCGTTTCATTTTTATATTCATTTTACTCATTCAAATGCTTTTGAATTTTAATAAATACGTGGTCTATATGATAAATAGTTGTGTTAGGCCATACATATATTTTTTAAGGACGGTGCATGATTTTGAATATGATTTTCTGATGACGATAATATGATTGATTAGATGCCTTCGTGCCAGTGATATTGCAGCAGTTACAAGTATAGATAATTAATAATTTGAAAGCGAAGGGTTATTAAATTTGACAAATTGAAGATGAAAATTTTGAAAAAATTCTCTTACTATGACTCTGTACAGAACGGGACTATCTAACGGACCATCTAAATCTAAACAGAATAATTGGAGGATTCCTATCCAAAAAAAAAAAAAAAAAAAAAAAAATAGAAATTGATTTAGCGCACAAATTATTATTGATGATCAAGGTTATTTATAATTCAAATTACTTCCCATCATAACTAAGAAGGTACTCTTCGAAAAATAACACAAAGACTTATCATACTGCACTCGTATATTGCATTTATTTTAGAGAGCTCATTCTTCATTATGTTTACTAAGTTTTTCAATTCTATGTATTTTTTGTTATAATTTTAAGCATTTCTCTATAGGAAAGTACACCTGAAGCATTTAAACTTTCACGAATACATATATTATATAAAAAAAACTGTAATCAAACAAAACTTCTGTCCATTAACTAACTATATATATAAATAGCAACGAAGTACTTCCAAATCAACAATTAAATGAAATAGTTTTAATTTATATATAAGAAACAACAAATGCAACAAAAATTCCTTCAATTATTTACGTACTATATACAATATAACGATTGTAATTAGTTATAATTCGTAGTATAGATTATATTTATAGAAATAGAAACACTTTTTTTTTTTTTTACAAATCTCAAGAATGCATTTTTTTCGTATTCCATTCAAATATAAAAAAAAAAAAAAACAAACAAACAAAATTAAGCATGTATTCGAAGATGTTTTATTCTCTACGTTCATATGAAACTTATATGAAGGTAAAGAATTTTTTAAATATATACCGATATTACAAACAACCGCGACATTATTTAAATTAGTAGAAGCTTTTAAGAAAAGGCTGGAAGACTACAATCCTTTATACGATAGATTTTTTGATATTCATCTCCTAACAAAACAATATATAAAAATTCAAAAGTTTTTCTTATTTATGCAACGGAGCTTCCTGTAAAAAAATCTCACATCGATCCAATATCGATCGATTGTGTTGTCTTTCCTACATTAATTTTAAAGTGCAGCTCGTTTTAGGTAATTCAACCAAACATATTTTCACTAGGTTTCAGTCTTTTTCATAAGTTTTACAGCGACGCTCTGCTGAAATTGATACTGAAATCAACAACTTTACTTGCTCGAAAGCAACAAAATACATGTGCATTGGATTTTATGTACTTTTAATTTTACAAAGAGAAAAACCAACTTGTTTTTCAAAACTTATTTTATTTAAAGATATGAAATTAAAAACTATTGAAATTAAAAACTATTTATGGAAAATGCATCATCGGAACTTAAAGTAATTGAGTTTCATGAACACATAACATCGACCTCATATCCATCTGTTTCTAAAAATAATATTACTATTGTCAACAACAAGCTATTTATACGCAAAGCTATGGACATTGGTTTAAGAATAATTGTTCATGTTATTATCAGAAAATAAGTCAACAAGAAAGCCCTATCCATTGGTTGAGATCAATTTTTTTTTTCAATACTATCCTCTTTCCCTAGGCCGACTGGGATTGCGTTCACCTTGAACTTTTCGACATATTTGTATCTAAATTTCGCATCTCTGCTTACTGTGTTAACGAAAATGTATTGAAATATTAAAATTTTTATTGGAGACGGATCAAGATTAAGCTTTCTGTAATGTATTGATAAATCTATGGCCGTGCATTGGCCCTGATATACTCAAAATATTCCGCGAATCGAAAATATTTGAACCGTTGATATAGTTTACGTGAAAATAATACGGAAAAGAATAATATGCTGACACTGTCACAACTCCAGCAGATGCTCCCAATTGAATGTATATTTCCCGTATGTTTGTAGTTATTTAATTATATATAATGAAATTTGTGGTCATTTTTGGTATTAGACAATTCAAAAATCCAATGCCATTGTAGAAGTCAGGCATCGACAATGCAATCAACTTGACGTAATTCTACTTTACTTCAGTGTATGCGTTCGTTCGTAATGTAAAATCTTTCTTTTCCGGTGTTAAAGAATCGAAGACTAGCGAATACAAAAATATTTCGATATAATGGCCTATGACACACGGATGGGAAATTCTTAAAATCTCTTTGAATTGGTAGTGTTGATGGCCATTGTTAAGGCTAGCAGCATGGAAGACGTAAACGTATAGAAAAGCGCTTCAAAAACAAAACCATTCAAAGTTATTAATTTCAATTTTTAGTTAAATTATTGGGAAAATGCTAAATTTATGAGTAAATAAAATTATTTCGGAAGATATGTTACGATCAAGATATCTGACGCGATTTTCTTACACAACTGTTCTTAAAGTTACCATGTCCATGGCTATACACTTTTTTTTTTTTTTTTTTTTTTTTGCAAATAGCGCAATTATTATACTAAATGCAGTTGAATCTATTAAAAAACATTAATTCATAATTTTTAGCCTACGAACAGAACTAATAATTATTAAGTGTACGATGACGACGATATCCAAGTGTATATGCATGTGTGCATTTGTCTATCCAAGTATACATTGATGGTGTGTTCGTTCATGTGTAGTTATATTTATAGGATTTTAGTTACATTAAATGAATTTAAATTTTAATCTTAAAGAATACATTGCTTGCGTTCAAAACGACAACGATATGAGCACATATAAATGTCCACATCGATTCCGACAAATGTAATAATACATTCACACATCACTAACATTCAAAAATTAAAATAGACAAACATTCATTTCGTCACCATCGTCAACTATATACGTAAATGGAAATTGTGTCCGTTGACCACACTCGATTTTCCCGGGAGACTATACGTTGGTAATGGCGAATACACAAACTGTAAATAAGAAATGAAAGAGAAGAAATGAAATTTTTAAAAACTTTAAAACATTGACAGCATTCATTAATTGACACCAACTTTTGGCATCTTCTGTTGTGTTGACATGTAGCCGACGCAAAACGATTTAGTTGTATGGCTCCAAAGTACTTCGCCTCCACCATTTTTGGGATAATAGATAACGGAAAGTGCGCCACCGTATAAATCTTGGTGGGCAGGTAGAAAGGGGGATTCTAGGAATTTAGTTTTGAATGTTTTATGCAAACTTGTGACAGCGCATTCGGTAGTGAAAAGATCAGTACAGATTTCTTTGGCCAGAAATGTTTTCATTAGATATTCCCCGTTTCCTGTGGTACAAGTAGCTACCGAAGCAGCGTCTGTGTCTGTAGCCCAGCAGCCAGCACCGTATGTGGCTGCTTGACCAACGCGACCAGGCACTTTCAAGAGCAAACCACCTGAACTGCAGCCAGCTGCTGAATTTCCAGTACTGTCAACGCATACCGCGCCTACTGTGTCCAAAGCACTGCTGGTATCGGGTGTCACAGTGCCTTCCGCACTTGGACTGGATGATTTGGTCAGTTTAGCCACTTTGGACTTGTAATGATTATAGGAGAACTTTGCCTTTGATGAAATTAACGCGCTGGGCTCAATCATAGCGCAGCCCATTTCTTCGGCATATCGTTCGGCACCTTGACCGGCCATAACCATGGGCGGTATACGTTCCATGGATAACATTCGCTCTTGTCCTTCACAAATTACGCGAGCTAACTGAATGGGATTTTTAACCGTTGTTACGTTAGTGCAGGCACCAAAATGCAAATTATTTCCATTCATAATTGAAGCGTCACACTGCACATAACCATCCCAACATAGATTTGAACCGAAACCGGCGTTCGTATTCCCACAATTTTCTAAGCGCATAATAGCCGCCTCACAGGCGTCCATTGCACTTCCACCATTTTTAAGGATATCTGTAGCCCGAACGCAAGCCTCCTTAATGACACGTTGATATTTCGTTTCATCAACGCAATTACCAGCACCTATAGATCAAGTGCTTAATTAAATTGTCTCGCCATTGAATACAAATTTGCCGACATACCCGTATGAACAGCAATAAATCCAGACATTTTCCTTGCAAAAGCTAGTTTATCGATATTCAATTCTCTTATTCTTTTTTTTTTTTTATTTTTTTTATGAAATTTAATAAATTTCCTTTTACCTCTTCAATGTAAACATTTAAAAAAATTGAATAAACAAATTAATGTTGCTAGTGGTGGCAAAACCAATGATTACATGTTATTAAGATGCTCATCAATTATCGACCGTATCTTAATTAAGTGCAACATATATAGAAAAAGGCGAGATCGATTTCTCATTTTTGACAAAGGAAATAAAATTGACAATTAATACTTGCAAGACGAGACTTAGATGTCGGACTAGATAATTACTCTTGTCATTCGCAATTTACGGAAAAAGAAAAAGTAAGAAGCGATACACTATCCTCATCTTGTATAATCAAATGCTCTATCCGCATTGTTTACGTTATTTTTCGTCGCTGAGTCAGCTGAGTTGATTTATTATCTTATGCAGGCCCAAAAAGATGCTGAGAATAAAACTCTTTGTCATATAGATGGCGTTGAAAAAGTAAACGGCTATTTTGTAAACGGTATGTTGTTTTTACTAAATGCAAAGCATAACTTCATTGTGTATAAGAAAACCGATAATTTTATTTTATTCTCGGCTGCTATTCAAGGCATTTTGTTTTACATTTCAATGAACTGACTAATTTGAATGAGTAGATATGGTGGGTATAGAGAATTTTTTTTTCAAATAAGATTTTTTTTATTTTAAGCAATGCTTAGCACGTACATACATAAAAGAAATAGCATTTTTTTTTCTTTTGCTTTTTAAAGCATTTGTTTTAATTTAAGAGTAAGTAATTATAAATTTTAACACGTCCATGCTATATTATTATGTTATATAAGTATATATAACATATATATTTTATTTTATTATTATAACATATAGTATTATTATTATATAGAGACAGAGAAGATATTTATTATTTTTCAAATAAAATAATTAATAAATTATTGTAATAATTGTAATAATAGAATAGAAAATTGTAATAATAGAATCATTAGATTATGTAAAGTTATTTTCCGGCGTCATTCATATTCTTGGGTAGGCTGAGAAGAGAATTAATTAGTTCCGAGTTACGTTTAGGCATTGCGGGTGCCATGCCGTTACCGTGATAGTATTTGCATGGATTATTAAAGGGTTGACCGTATTGGCCACTAGCCGACGCTAGCCAATTCATTAAATCACGATTTAACTAAAAGAATAATTTTTAAATTAAAAAAACTACAATAACTAATTAATTATAAGTGAAAGTCGTTTGATATAATTACCTCTTTATCAAAGTAACGTTCTTCATCAGGGACTGGCAGAGACCAGGAGAGGCCCATAACAGTAACTATGACAATTATTACGAATAATATGGAGCGGTTGACTTTGTACATCTTAGCTATGCTGCACGGAAATATTATTTGCAAAAGTAGTGAATTTTATCGCTGAGGTAAGACAACTGATGGAGCAATGACAATTCCCAGCGAAATTTATACCAAAAAATCGTAGATTTTGTTGTCGCAGCTTGAGGTCTATTACATACATTTCAATGGTGCTGGTGTCAATTACAGATTAAACAAATCACTTGCAATATATTGGAATCTAAGCTAAGTACATATTTGATTTGGTAACAATTCATTTTTATGATACGACATGTGCTATACTCTTATACATTACATATTTGCTTAGGTTTCTGTCCTTTATTGATTTTCTTTATTTTATCATCTTATCAAGTAAAATCATTGTGCATGTGCACTTTAAATATGTATTAAACACATGAAAGTCGCGTCAGGGTTGATCCTTGGCTACTCATCATACAGAATTCAGTACGTATTACAGTTAGATTAATTAATTTTGGTGAATATTTTCGCAGCAACACAAAAATTGGGCAAACATCGTGGATCTCTTAGTTACATATGTAAATATAAATGCTTTGGGAAAATATTCCCTCGATCGTTTAATACATTGTCTATAACGAACAAGTAAACAAGTAAATAAAAATCAAATCATTTATGTTCCTCGGACACTAAGACTTTTAAAGGAATTAGAAGATGGGTGCTGATGACAGAGTTTCTGAAATCGTATAATAGATAATCATCAAAAGTGTTTCGGAAAGTGAAGCCATCATAGTTTCATCATAGATTCTATGCATCTTCTAGAATGTGTGGAAGAAAGCTCATTACCTTGCACAATTTGTTCGCTTGAAATTTCGAGCTCTATTCGCATACCGCAAATCAAATGACGCAGGCACAGCCTAATATCTTTTGCCTGATGACTGCTAATAATCTTTAAAAACAAAAGTTTTTGCCGCATAGGCATATTGGCATTATAGGCGTGTCCTTTGACAAGTTTAGATCAATTCCAAATTCTTTTGCAATGTTTTAGGCGATATCTTCATTTTCACTAACGGGAAATTGTTTATCACAAACACTACAAACTTGCGCAAGCAGACAGATGGACAGACGAACAGGCGGACATGTTTAAGTGCATTCCAAATTTGAAACTGGCCTAAAATTTGCGTACGTCATGGAGTCTTTGAAGTTTGTGTCTACGCGTTATAAATGTATTGAGAAAAAAATTAAATTTTGTTACACTGTCGGATAGGCGCGGCCAATTTTTTCAATTTTTATAGAGTTACTAAAGCGTTGTCCATAGAATATATGGTCAAATTTTTGTATATTTATTTGCTATACTTTATGAGTAGTGAGCAAAAAACCAATTTTTGATTCCTTTTAAAAAACAGAGGTGCTCTCAGTTTAAGTGGTGCTGCGGTCCTGTCGTTCGATCGGTTTGGTCCATTTCCAACACCAATCTGCGTGCAAGAACTTCCAATGCTTTTGTAAATAAATATAATGACAACGTTTCTCTATAAATATGTTATTAATGAAAATATTGAAAATGGGCGAAACCGGTCGAAGGACACACCTGCAGGAACACATATACTGAGAACACTTCTCATTTTCAAAAGAAATGAAAAATTGATTTTTTTGTCCATTAATCAGAAAGTAAAAAAATTTGAACATATATTCTATAGACGAAACTATATTAACTGTAAAGAAGTTTCATACTCTTTCATATTGGATGGACGAGGCTGTCTTTTTTCCATTTTTAGTATAAAAGTGAAAATTTATATGGTATATTTTTTTGTATTTGATGAGTAACAAGAAAAAAACAAAAAAGCACAAGTGTTCGCAATCTTTGTTCCAAAGACGTGTGGAGTGTTGTAGGCGTATTCTTTAAAAAGTTTGGGTCATTTTCCAACGCCATTGGCACGCTTTTAGGTGACAATTTTCTTTTTTCAAACGGGATAATGTTTACCACAGATACTACATAATTGGGCAAAGGACAAATGGATGGACGAACGGACGGACACGCTTAGGTGCATCTCCGATGTGAAACTGACAACGAATTTACTTGTACGCCTTATAAAAGTATTGAAAAAAAATTAAATTTTGGTATACGATAAAATTTGGTAGGCGCGATTAATTTTTACCTTTTCGATATAAGTGATATGGGTGATATAGGTATTGCCCATTGAATATACACTAAAATTGATGTAGATTTATCTGCTGCAGTTGATGAGTAATGAACAAAAACTGTCCGGATAGACGGCCAGACAGACACACTTAACTCGATTCAAAATTTAATGCTGGTTAATAATATTTTTATTTTGTGGGATCGCTGAAGCTTCCTTCTGGGCGTTATAAAGGTTTTGATAAAATGAATATACTCCTCATCCTTCGGTAATGGGTATAAAAAAAAGTATATACATATCTAGCACAGAGGCATACACGCAAAGGACTGCGCTGACTCGAAGGAGTGAACCGCTAAGCTGTAGCAAAACGAATCAATTTTCATAAGGAGCGAAAGAGACAAGCGAGTCCAAACATCAATTCTTGAAGAGAGACAATAGGAATTGCTTTTGAACGGATTCTATTGCATCTACGTAGCATCTATAGGAAGCAGGCATAGTCAAATATTGGTGTCACCCATGCCCATGCGTAGTCTTTTCATATGTGCGAGCACAAAACTTTTCCGACGGCTTGTAGTAACTGACTTTACGGTATGCTAAATGCCAAATAGTCCAACAAAGGTTGAAGACAACTCTTCAGTGATTCACATTCTAGTATATTTGGCAGGCGTGCAACACCCGAGAAACTAGAAACATTATAACCATACCTGAACGATTTGTACCATGCATATCAAAGTAACTAATAGTAGTATTATAATAAAAATCGAATCTTTCCTGGCGTAGCGATCGTACACGCAATTCATTTTCGATGTGTATCTGATCCTATACTTATTGTGACTGACACTCTATATTGAGATGTGGTTACTTTTGTATCAAAGACATGTTGGAAATTTTGGTAGCAATAAGTATAACCCTATCATAGTACGTCATTTAGATTAATATTCTGGAAGAGCAAACGCCTTATAAGTTGAACGGTAACCAATTCCTTGGCCCTCCTCCTGAAACGGCCATTTCACCAGAGATGATTTGCGGATTAGGAATGAAGAATTGAGGATCGACAGTATACAGTGCGTGTACATTATTAGATAACTTATTGGCGCCAGATCAATCCGCTCGTGTGCAATGTAAGTTTGATTAGATTGCATCCGGATAGCCTTTAAAAGCCTTTTCACACAGTCCTCATAAAGTCTGACTGATTCTGTCAAGAATTTAAAATACTCCCTTTTTCTCTACTCTGACACAAGTTAAGGACTTTTTTTAATCTTTCAGGAAACCAGATAGCACTAATTTTACTGGTGTTCAAGTGTAAATTGAGATCGGCTCAACTCTTGTAAAAGAAATCGGCATTAGCAGAGACGTTTTTAACCGGATTATCAAATGATGCTGCACTTGAAAAAATTAAGAAACGCTCGACGTACTAAAAATTGTGATTTTTTCTCGTCTAAAATTTCATCCAATTTGACCGTGCACAGGTCAAAAATGATGGGACTTAAATGATGGGACTTAAATTTCAACTGTAACATTGCTCGTGAGTACACGTTTGGACGGAAATTTTGGAGTAACACACACACACACCACGGGGCTAAGTTAAAACACACACACGCACACACACACACAATTATATCTTCGTTTTTGATAAGCAAAAGGAGCGAAGCGAAATAATCTTTCCACCATCAATATAATTTATAAGGTTCTTCATGGCCATGGAATTGATTAGCTTTGTGATGATCCTGACTAGAGCAATAGGTCGAAAGCTAGCAATAACCATTAAATCTGTGCCTAGTATAATTTTGATCCCATTGATGGGATGATACTATTTGTCGAACACTGCTCGCCTTAGCCATTTCTATTTGATTAATATAAATTACAAAAGCCGTTCAAACTTATAGCTGGGACAAATTGTATGTTGACCAAGCGGCCATATGGTAGGTAACACTTTCATTTCGATTTTCGCGATCGCTTCATCTGGGAAATGTAGCTGTCTTATGGTATGATTGCCTGTGTTGGTTAATATGAGACCAAAAAGATCATCGATTTCCACTGGCACAGATCTCATCAATGATGGGATCTTGGTATTTCCTTTTAGGTTTTCTAGCCATGGATCTTAGTTCATTTTGAATCATCTCCAATCCGTTATAATTTGTTAAGATAGGGTAGATACTTAGTTTTTCAACTGAGGCATCCTTTTTGCGGAAGAGGACGGAAAAAGCGGGATTTCGTAGCGGGTTTTCGAGTAGACACTATGAAAATTAGTTTTAGCAGCATTGATTTCGGACTGAAAGGTGTTGTGTATGGACATGGCATCTCAATCTGAAGTAACTTTGAGCAGGTTGTCTAACAAACGCTTGCGAGGAAAGAAATTTTAATTTTTTGTTGGGAGACCAAACTTGCTTAAAAAGTAATTGTAAAGTGATGACTTTTGCCCAAAGAGGTATTTAAAATTTTCCATTAAAACGGTCACGTCAGCGGTCGAATCAAAGTCGAGAACAATGCTGGAAACATGACCTTTTCGTTTGCAGTGGAAATTAAAATTTCTATTGTTTAGATTATCAATTCTGCTGGAGTTGGTAATATGTGCAAGGACCCTTCCGCCGTTCGATGACGTAGAGTCATAATATCAACCATTGCTAGCTATAAAGACACCTGTTCAGATAACATTTTGTCCTCCATCGCGTTGCAAATGATCGCAGAAGATATCAATCTCGAAATACTGTGGGTAGCAATATGATACTATGATGTTAAGCTTCAGTTTAACAGTCATGGCCACTAGAAGCAGAGTCGTTTTCTGATGAAAACACTCGCATTATCATAACAATCATCGGGGAGGAAGGCTTCATTTACGATACAAACATCTATTTCCTTTGTGTTCACGAAATAGTGCAAGCAAAGAGCATTTCTCCAAACATTGAAGAAAAAAAAAAAATGATTATAACCAGAAACATTGGACATATAAGCCACAAATCTATTGGCATAGTCCATCTCTGTTCAACATACCAAAAAAAAAAAAAAAAAAATAACAAGAAACATGTATATAATAGTTATCGAAATATTAAACGGGTCTTTCTGAAAACATAAATTTTCAAAACAATCCACAAAAAACTTTTATAATTTTTATTTCAATTAACATCATCTAGTGAAACAATGATTTTCGATAAGTTAACTCATATATTATTTATTAAGAACAGATTGCCTTCAGTTTTGCTCGAAAATTGCAGAATATTGAACATTTTTATTCAAACACTCGTCAATTACAAACAAATCAAAATTTTTTAACAACTAATTTTAAAAACCATTGCTCCCAATGTTGTCCCTGGTAAAGCGGCTCACAACATGTTCCAGCGCCCTTTACACTTTTCAACTAACAAAATATAGAAATTAAATTCAACTATTTATACCTTTTTTGTGCTATACCAACCGAACATTCCCACTTCTTTGTATATAGCTTCCTAGGCTGTTTATTTAAATAACCTATCCAGAAAGCGCTTATTGTGCACTTCTAGCAAATTCGTTAACGGTTCGTCCAACTTTTCAACACACTGTTTAAACCAATTTATTTTTATTTTAATTAATTTAATTTAACTTTTTTGTTATCACAAAGAAATCAAAAAGAATCTATTGTGCATTTGGAAAGATAAGTTCTAATTGGATTTTTTCAACGTTAAAGACTTTTTCTTCTGAAAAAATATTTCAATTTCAGTTTCTTGAACAAGAAAAAGAAAAATAAAAAAAATGATTGAATCAATTGACGAATTTCCTGAATAACAGAAGAACAAGAAGAGTACAGGGTGCTTAAGAATTTTGTTTTGTTTTGATAAAACAATTTCTTTCTCATATCAGGAAGAAGTATTCTTATTCGCTGATTGACGATTACTTTAAATACTAGGCTGAATTGTCATAGAAAACACTGTGAAAGTGTGCAAAAGTGACAACTTAATAACACATCGATAATTAAAATTTAAAATTAAATACGAAATCATTTCAAAAGGAAAAATAAAACAAGTAACTGTTTGTACAAAGTAGCTGATAAAAAAGTGTATCCAAATAAAGAAAAAAAAACAATTGAAATATAGCTGAAAAAGCAATTAGAGAAAAGGAACAACCTTACATCCCACTGCGGAGCTCATCTCACTCAAAGAGTATAACTACACACTTCAACTCCATTCTAAATCTACAAAACTCAATCTGCGAAATGTGGTTTAACCATAAGGCCGCGGACGCAAACAGACGGCAAATGTTGTGCTTCTACAAGAAAGATTTCGTTTACTTGTCAATTTTTCATCCAATAAATTCTGTCTTTTGAGAATCATCCGACTTTACCTTTCATTTACAACTTTATATCTCTTCTTCCTTCTTTTAATTTATTCAAAATTCCTTTTGTTTCTCAATATTTTCGACCTGCAATTAAATTCCTACCAGAGAGATAATTACTCAAACTTACTCAATGCCAAATCGAAACATTTTTCACACATCTTTACTTATGGACCTAAGACTGATATTGTAGGCAGCGGTGTTTGGGTTCCAGCTAATAATATAGAAGCCTACTTCTTAAATCACCTAAGCATTACCGTATTTTCGGCTGAATGTGTTGCTATTCTAGAAGCCGCACGCTTAGCGAGTACTCGACCTCAAAAGAAATTCCTTATAAGTAAATATATTCTTTAAGACAGTAAATCTGTCTTAAGCGCTTTACTATTACTTCCCTCAGGTAAAACTGACCCCTACATATTAGCAATCAGATCTTTACTTTATAACCTCAAATTTGATACTTTTCGTTCTCATTGTTTCTGGATGGCCAGTCAGATGGGCATTCAAAATACTTTCTCAAATTTATATTATTTATATTATATTCTTCTTATTTCCAAAATCATTATTGTTATTATTTCAAGCAAGAAGACTTTATTACACCTCAAATGTTTTTGGTCAATTAAACAAGGGAAGTAAGCAAAATTTTTATCTGTTGGCAACCTAATTTCTTAAGTTATTTATAGGAATATTTATAAAAGTGCGTCAGAAGGGCTTAGCTGCAGTCCCATTCCAAATTGAAAACGTGAAGTAACATTTATACATCCCGTATTATTATAAGTAAAGAAGCGTTGGTAACTCTTACGGGTGAATGTGAAAACGAATATATTTCTTAGGATTCTTGGGATTAAAAGAAGAAATTATCACGTAAGATGCTATCAAGGGCTGCTCTTCTTTCTGGTAATTGTATAAATTTGCTTTTAAAATAAAATACTTGTGCAAAATTATGAAAAAGACAGCTTATCGGAAGAAAACAAAATGCAATCTTTAAATTACATCATTCAGTATCAAAGCTATCAAGATAAATATTGCGTTTATGTAATCATCTGAGGGTATATAGTTAACTAGATTGATAGTATATAAATATACGAAAAATTGCAATATTTTAAAAAGTTATTTTTATTAAAATCATCTAACCTTTCGTTTGCATATGAATTATAGTCCAACGTCCTTTGAGCGTTCTTGCGGCTAGAAAGGCCGCGAGCTCCAGCGGCGAACGTCCTGTCCGTCTTGAACAACCTGGCAAAGTTCGTTTGGGCTTCATTCCAGATGAATGGTTCCAATTCTTCTACAACAAAACTGGTGTAACAGGCCCATATACCTTTGGTGTTGGCCTAATCACTTACCTGTGTTCCAAGGAAATCTATGTGATGGAACATGAATACTATAGTGGTATATCATTGGCTATTATGGCCGTTGTTGCAGTTAAGAAGCTTGGTCCACCAATGGCTAAATGGGCTGATTCTGAAATTGATCGCATTGAAAACGAATGGAACGAAGGCCGCGAAACAGAATTGAAATCTCTTAAAGATTCGATTGAAGCGGAAAAGAAAGAACAATGGCGAGCAGAGGGTTCCCTGATGCTTATGGATGCCAAAAAGGAAAATGTTGCTCTCCAATTGGAAGCGGCTTTCCGAGAGCGGGTTATGAATGTTTACAATGAGGTAAAATTTTTCATGCGTCCATCGCTCATGCTATAATAATTAAATTGTACATTATATTTGATTTTCAGGTCAAACGTCGCTTAGACTATCAAGTTGAATGCCGTCATATTGAGCGTCGCCTTAGCCAAAAACACATGGTTAATTGGATTGTTAACAGTGTATTATCGTCCATCACACCCCAGCAGGAAAAGGACACCTTAAACAAATGCATTGCCGACTTGAATGCTTTAGCTGCCCGTGCTAAATAGATAATTTACCAACTCCTTTTTTTTTTTCATTTTCTGCTGTGAAACTTCAATTTTCTTTGAAAGAAAATAATACTGTCAACATTTTTGTTAATAATTGAATGAAATTTATTATATTTAATATTTCAAAAGATTCAAAGTGTTAGCGAAATATAAATTTGGTTAAGCAATGATGGCAATCACATGGCTGTCACACGAATTCGTTGGTTTTATGTAAATGATACGTGCATATATAGGGACAGCATGGCTATTATCTGATTGTTGGTCCATGGAATATTAATCGTTCCCATTATCACAAAAGAGTGAGTCACAGGGAACGAACTATAATTGACTTGATTGCTTAACTGTCTGCCTAAGCATTAAAAGTGAATTCAAAGGTAATGACAGTTATAAGGAAAAAAAAATTGCGGAAATTCAGTGAAGTTTGGGCTACAATCCTCAATTCGAGCTAAAACTCACATAGCTCATATACATAGGAAAAAATTGGTATATATTTTACGCTTTCAAGCTTTATCTTAGCTCATTCATTATTAAAATCTCTGTCTTAAATTGAAAAGTCTGCTATTGTCAGTTGATGGAGAAGTTTTATCAGAAGGATATTTTACAGATATATCAAGAACTAGTACGACTCGCTAAGTCAATATATCTGTTAAGTGAACATTGCTCTCGCCGAGTATATGCAAGTCAGCGAATTTTTATTTTCGTAAGCTCGTAATAGCTAAGAATTTGTATAAACAAGTTTGTGATTGGGTAGTAGTACTATATAACTGTAGTATTTACTTATAATATGCGAATACAGTTGAATGAGTGCAGTAGTGTATTAAGTTTATTTCTCAAAAAAAAAAAAAAAAAAATACATGTCTTTCTATAATCTGACTATACTTTTTCTAAATTTTTATCATTCCTACATTTCTCATATGTTTACACACATCAGCGAATTTTGCGCCTTTGATTTGCTGAATAGAAGAAGAAGAAGAAGAAGCAGATTACCCATATGTATGATGTATGTGTACTGCTTCAGAACGTGCAATCTTGGACACAAACTAAGCAGAAGTAGAATAATGGAACAATATGAAACAAATGAAACACTTGATGTTAACAACTTACCTTTCTTAATTTTTTAAATAATTTAATTGATGATTAATATATAAAGGCAAGTTTTATTTACTTAAAATCTATCCGGCAACTCCATTTCCTCTTTCGAACTTAAAGAAGAAATTCGTTCTGGAGTTTCAAAAAACCAAAGTTATTTAATAAACAAATTTTCTCGAACGAAAACCTTTTGAAAAGATTTTACACTTGTTACCAGCTTTACAAGGTAGACAGGTGACGCATAAAAGCATTTCAATTGAAAGCGACTTCAAGTAATTTAACATTTTCGCATTTGTTCAGTCTTCCGAAACTGCCGGCCCGCAAAGCTATACTGCATCGATGTGGACAAGCGGTAATCGAAGGCTCTATGTCTCGTGAATACACTGGCGAATAGCAGAAGTTCCCATTACCATTTTCGCCAATAGAGATGCCGATGATCAAAATACTTGCAAGCACCTATTATATATCATAAATGTTACTAAAATAATGAATAGAGTTAAGTAGAAATAAATGGATTGTGAAATCGTAGTAAGACTTGTTTCTTTTTTGAGAAATTTCATTTTAAAAACCGCGTAAGATGACACGCGTCGAATGAGTAGTGTGTAAATTTGGCAAGGTGTATATAATGCGAAAAACGTTATACAAGATGCATTTAATCTATTATTTGCAAATTGTATCCTCAACGGATTTAAGTCTATGGTTATATTTATATAATATTTTCACAAAAACCCACACAAATATACCCTACCTCATAGTGACTGCTATCGCACGTCATCTCTAGCACGTCATTCCTTGTCATTTTTTTATTTTAAGACTATAAGCTCAGACTCTTCTCTGCTCAGACGCTTCTTCTTATAAGAAACTATATATGAAAATTATAAGAAAAAAGCAAATAAATGAAACATGAATTAAATGTTTAATTTTACCAATAAAGTCCTCCTCAATATATGTGTCTGGTCCAATTAAATTAAATATATTAAAAAGCTTTGACTCCATGTATTTTCACGGTAAAGTAAATTTTTTATACCGTACACCATTTGTGGTATAGGGTATATTAAGCAAGTGTGGACATTTGTAGCACGCAGAAGGGCTTAAGGTAGACCCAATTTTTATTAAACCGATCGATTCAGGACTATACTCTGAATTGATCTAAGCCTATCCATCCATATCCCTAATTTATGTTTAAGCTGCAAGTCGCCATTTTTGAGATATTTTAATCAAATTTGATTTACATACGTATTTCACCCAAGGACGAATGCTATTAAAAAAAGTTCGGATCGGTCCACGCTTTTCGATCCCTTTTTAATCGTTATAAGGAAAAAAAATCGCGATTTTCCAAATTTCGCGGCAGAAATGGCTAAGTAGTAGTATTTCGGCATTCTAAATTGGTATGAAAACTTTGGACAGGGTGTGGCAATTTTTGAACTTCCTCCCATATAACGAAAACTGAAGTTCATTCGACAAGATGTAATAATTTTCCGTGCTTCACGATGAAAATTATATCATATAAGTAATTTAACACAAAAAATTAAACTGCACCAAATTTGAACCATTTTGGCCTATCTTTTGTATCCTAATGAGGACTTTCACGAAAATGTATCGTTTGTAGAGCAGTAAAGTGGAAGTTTTAATATGAAAATCGAATATAATTGCCTAGGTACAAATAATTTCTTTCCACTGTGACTGGTTGCTTCATAAAACGTACCTGACACATTCAATTTACCCAAAATTTCACAGGTATCAGGTGACGTAGACATAGATGTGTGAACCAATGTAAGTTTCACATGTTTATAGGATGCCGTTCACTATTAACCAAGGTGTAGAGAGATCGACGTTGAATTTTAACAAAAAACTGAAGGAATTTATTCCCTTAAAAATTATTTTGACTGATTATTTTGTCTAACTAATTTCACTATATCAGAATATTAATTTCGGAATGCAAGAAAATGTATTATATTTAGCGCATGTCAGCTTATCTTCTAAGGCTAAATGGGGTAACCATATCCCGAAATGAAGCAACGATTTCAAACACTTTTTGCAACTGTGCTTCTTACGTGTCATTTTCATTTTATTTACGAAGAAGGTGCGATTCAGGAATTAATTTTTTAGCTACGAATATTATTACGTGTCATTTTATTTTATTTACAAGAAGGTGTATACGTTGTCCCTTGTGAAATTTTGCAGCAACAAAAGTAATTTTTTATATCCTAGTATTATTCAAAATAATTGTCTTCTATCCTTTTATTAAGCAATTAAATTTTTTTTTCTTTTCAGAAAATTTGTTTTGTGGATTAGAAATAAACAAAAAAAAACAAAAGTGAAGAAATGGCCCCACCACAGAGAATGCGTATCGCCAACGAAAAAGCCAGCAAATATGTAACAATGCGTGGCAATGTACCAAAGTCATCGGTAAGTTCCACATTATTATCCAAATTGCAAAGGCTTTGACTTTACTACGCATATGCAACTTTTGTGCTCCATCTTGTGTGGTGAAAGTGCCACGCATTGGTCTGGTCGTTACAAAAATCGTTTCTTTGGACGTTATTTGCATTCCATCCAATCGGTAGTATTAATACACATAGCCGAGACCCCAGAGAGACCCAGTGCTCCATTCAGGATCTAATCAAAACATATGCGAATTTTTGTACAAAATTTTTTAAATACGGTTCAAATCAGATACAAGTAAAGAGAACTGCGTGTGTATTTTAGCATTATCAAAAATTTCATTTCTGACTGCAGGCGAATCATTTTATCACTACGTGATTCAGTCATGTTTTACCGTATACGTTTCTGTCCACAATTTAGTTCAGTTTTCGTATGGGATTAGGATAAAAATATTTAAAAATTTAACACATCGACAGATAGTTGTGTTTAGGTTCCTGCGTGCTTCATCGATAAATGCATTCGGTTCGTATTCATTCTCTTACGTATATGTACTGCGAAGTTTTCTGATATTACGTGAAAAATCGTAAAAAACAAAGATAAATACACGCATACAATTATTTTGATAAGTGAGGCAGTAAAATTTTTTTTTTTATTTTCATAGTTATAAAAGTATCATATACTTTTCTACGCTGCAAATTATTGGATAATATAAACATTTTCTCTTACCGATCGATTCTAATATTGTCATTTCGAAAAAGAGATCACCTATAGTTATAAGGAAGTGCACCGATTTAGTTTTGTGCGTTAATTAAAGAAAAATTGCCTTAGCATGCGCAGTGATGGCGAAAAGGATGCCCATAAAAGACAAAAAAAAGAAAAAATTCGAAAATTTGGGGGAAATTTACAAAATGTTTCAGATTTTAATCGAAAAAAATATATATATATATTAGATAATGGTATAAGAGTGATGGTTCACGCCGAATATAAATATGTTACGTGTGCCTAATAATTATAATGTGGACATATAAGCCACAGATTTATTGGCTTGATCCATTTTAAATCAACATCCCAAAAAAAAAAAAAAAATTATAATTTCATTAATTTGATATTCATTCTTCTTGTTTTCTTTTTTTATTGCTTCTCTTTAAAGAAATCAAAGGAAAATCAGTATCCTGTTGGTCCCTGGCTGTTGGCTTTATTTATATTTGTTGTATGTGGCTCTGCAATTTTCCAGATTATTCAATCAATTCGTGCTGCGTAAATTTCTTCTGCTAGCCTTTCTTCTTCAACGGAAATCATTTCACATATGCATTAAAATATATGAAAAAGCTCACATAACATAAATCTACCTAAAAGTAACATAAATCAAGTTAACCGTTAAAAAGTCACTGCAAAATCTATTAATCGACCAAGTCTGAAGCTTGCATTTGCTATTCAAACTATCTATGTAATCTTTATTCGATTATTGACTGCGAATATATGCACATATTGCGCACAACAGATTATAAATTCATACTGTTTGAAAACCACTAAGCATAGCGGCTTTGCATAGATTTGATGAATTTCAATGATGTAATATTGTAATTTTTTCTTTTTATTTGTTTTCTAATGTCAATTTATTCTTTCATCGTAAGATTTAATGAAGTTTTGTAATAGTTTATTAAGCATTCCCTTCACTTCGAGGAAAGATTATGTTATTCTCTTTATTTGTACTTCTTTTCCGATTTTCTCTTTAATTAATTCATTAAGTACTGATAGTTAAAATTACTTTTAATTGGATAAAAAAAAAAAAAGGAAAAAGCATTTTTGTATAAAAAAAAAAATAATGCGTTTAAATGTAACGGCATATAAATAGATATGTATAGTAATTTTTTTTACTTAATAAAAAACTAAGAGACATACAAATGTTAAATGACATTTTACTCACTCATCCACCGTAGAGTATAACACCGCTTGCGATTATATTCCATATGTTTGTCATCATTTTTCCCCTTGACCAAAAGAAAACAAAGGAAATCTAAAATTAGACTTTCTAACATCTACCGCTACTTACGTTACATCGAAGGAGATCTCCTTAATACTTTATGGCAATATAATAATAATAATAGTGCAATATGCATATATAGATAATTCAGTTATATGTATAAATATAAAATATTTGATTACCAAATACAAGTCTGTAATCTGACTTTGTAGCGTTTTGTAGGTAATTGCACAAATTTATATTTACCACGGTTTATACCTAATGGACTTATAGACGATACTCTTGGCGGTATGTAATTGTGTTAATGAATTTTTCCCAGAGACATTTGGAGGCTATCGCGACTGAGATTTACATTACTATGTGTTATAAAACTCTTACAAAATAGAACCGAGTACAAAAACAAGCACACTAGAATCATAAAACCTATGACCCCACAATACTTATTGTCTTTTTTATTTATGGCGAAATGGATGGCATTATATATTATAATATTCATATATCAGACAAATATCAGAAACATTTTACCAAAGAATTTTCACTGCCAGTGCAGAAGAGCACAAATTCGTTATTCGTTTCGGGTTCGCGGGTTCCTACCTTGAAGGACAAACTCCTACGGCATTCGATGGCACACGAGTTACCTTCACAAGCGATAACTCACGTCCTTCAAGTAGTAGAAAAGTCCCCATTGTAGAGGGCTGTACTACTCCCGAGATACTGAAATAGAAAATGGGTGTGAGCCATTTTACCGCTTATTGGTGTGCGTCGAAGCTTACCTAAACACTTCTTGAATAGTTTCCTACGAAATTTTGGGGTAACCACAGCGTCTACGATATTCCCCGAAGGGTCGCACCCAGCAGCCAGGTAAGATAGTCGTGATGGTCAGATAGGTACTGTATCTTCATACCAGGAGCAAGCGTAGTTTTGTGCGACCTGATCCTCTTCTCTCGTGGACACCCATTAACTTCATGAGTTATCATTCTAGTACAGAACTTACGGCATGCTATACAGTTTGAGGTGATCTATTATTGTACGCAGCTGGAGTCCCTCTTTCCTTTGGACCATGCCAAACAACTGTGACACAAGAATCCAAGGGGAGGAGAAGAATGCTATCATTTCAATACAAAAGAGAGCTTTCTCCCGATACAGCTCTTAGGCTTCTACGAGAAAAACCCGTCGCCAGGTTATAGACAGCAAACCTTAAACCCTTCTCTGCCGTTGACTATGCAACTCCCAAAAGTGAGATCCATGAAAGCAGCAATCGAAGGTTATAGGAAGTACCACAATAAGGTGAGGGATCTTGTAGTTCCATTCCCCTGCTGGAGAGAACAAAATGGAGGCCATTGGGTAGAACTCAAGCCTTTTAAAGAAGGGAGAAATATGTCACGCCAGCGGATATTCACGTTATCTACATCGTTTAAAAGCTAGAGCTTCGCCCCGACGTATGGCCAGGAGCTCCTAACCTTGACTTGGTGACTCCCGTTCATGCACAAGAGTTCAAATGTTCACCGATGACTAAAGTGGACCCCACAGTATCGGAAATATTGAACGTCAGCGTAATGTGGGATGAGTCTAACTTCAGGAAGGCCATTTCCACGCAAATAATATGTAGAAATAAAAGCTATCTAACCAATTAAAGCTTTTTTCACGTAAAACTCCTCGCCACGCTACCCAAATTGCCCGTTATCGCAACAATATAACTATAGAAGTCTTACCCACTGTTTTTTATGTTCTTATTTTTATGTGAAATATACAAAGACATTACTTATGTTTTCGTTCACCTTGCACCAATAATCTTGTTTAACCGTTATCGTCGAGACCACGTCTGCGCCTCAGAAAAAAAAAACAAAAATTACGAATGAACCCTTAGGTTACAACTGAAAGAAAACCTTTTATGGCAATTTCGCAATGATTAGGGAGAAAGAGAGGAGGAATGAAAAAAATAGAGTATACAAATTTTGGTGAAGTATGATCGGGGAGGAAGGCGAAAGAAAACTCACCAAAAACGTAGTTATGCGACCTTGCAAGCATAATTTTTTATAATAATTATTTTCCAGTGACACTTGACAGATTAACAAAGTACCTACTAAATTTTACAATGTTGTAGAAATTCTTGAAAAATGTTGAGGCAATGGGAGTCGTTAATTACTACAAATTTTGGTTGTGACTACCGACCATAAAATAAAGTTTAAACTTAGGGTCCTGACACAATGAGATGTCATTTTAATTTTCGGGTTAACATCTAAGTGGTAAACATAATGTTCCGCCGCGCTACCATATTGTTTTACAGGAAAATGTAAACAAAAACATAAGGTTTTAAGACCAAGAATTAATTGTAAACATAAACTAATTTATAAAAAAAAATAACAAAAAAAAATTTGACATAAAAGTAAACAAATTTGTTTATTGATTAGTGTTAAAGAAGATTATATATTAGATATATTTTTGTGTATTAAATGATCCATAATTTGCAAACTACCATTTATCTTTCCGTAAAAAACAACTTGATAAATATATATTAACTCTTAAAACAAATGATTGCTTGTTTTTCATTTCCTAAAAAAATAATGCATGCCCAATGCAAACCCAATTTGCAAATCGCACAACGTGAAAGAAAATGTACATTAGTGTTATGTATCCGTAAATTAAATAAATCATTTCTAAACTTAAAAAATATGCCTTTATTTCCTCTTGTGCATTGATTTCTTTTTATTTTGTTTGCATTTACATGCAAATGCATATGGTTGGTCAATTCCCAAAGTCAAGTTTTGCAAAACGTCGGCAAAGTTGAAGTCACAACACGAAAATAGGAATAACGCTTCATTTTCTCAGTCATCTTTGAGGTAATTTAATCCCCAAAAATATTTTCGACAAATAAATTTTGAGTTGTACAACACCGTTTAATATATGTTTTTTTTACTTTGTAAAACAAATTCTGAATCAATTTAACGAGCAGAAGAAAAGATTATTTTTATTTTGTCTAATTATTGGCTCAAATCATTTTTATTTTTAATGCCGAATTTAATGTTATCTATTATATTAAAATTCGTTTACGATCAGAGGGCGATAACAATAATTGCGTAAAGAAGAAAAATTTCCCTAATTGTCTTCTTTTTGGTTTGGTTAGATGAATGAATTAGGCTTGCTAATGAATGAATTTTAATTAATCGCGTATCCTGTGTGCTTTATGAGTGATGGCGACAGCATATGACGTATATAAAAAAAAACGACACAGATTTCCTTCTGTTAGGAGACAGAGATGTGGTGTTGGTCAGTTATGTACTGTCTTTCTGAAGTTATTTTTACAGGATTGACTGCAAGTTGTAACTGATTAAAGTATTAAGTAGACGAAGTCCAAAAAAAAAAAATCACGAGTAGTTAAATGTTAACTAGGTTAAATTAAAGGGACCATTGATGCCAGCACGAAGTATGTATGTTATACACACTGACAATATTGAAATGCGTCATGATGTCAAGTTTTGTGCATCCGAAAATGAAACGTGCAGCTGACTCGGCGATATAGCACTCGTCTCATGTATCAGGTGACACAGCGATATCCAAATCGGTTGACATCATCAATCGGTTGACATTCATCAATGAGAGGGTCATGTTGTACGAATCTTTTTTTTGACTAAGATAAAGGCCGATTTACGGGAAGCAGCAGTGTGAATTCTGTTTAAAAAGAATTCCTTTGATGATATGGATGGCAACATCATCACCGACACGGCATTTGCAGACGAACGTATTCGACATATTTTCGTCAGATATGAAAATCTCTATGAGAACAGGAAAGTCAATTCCCACATAGCTTAGTAAAAAATCCATAGAGTGAGCTTTACGTTTGAAACTTTAGATAATATATTGCAAAAAAAGGGGTAATTTGTCATTACTGAAACGCCTTAAAGTAATGCTGGATCGACGCTTGTAGTTTCCTCACTTAAGAGGACTAATGCTTGTTATTAGTAATATTAGATTTAGGGCGACGTTTTGGAAGATTTAAGTGTTTGGGATGGGCGAGATAAGATTTCGATTTAGCTAAAAACTTGACGCTCTTGTTGGTGAAAACTTGTTGACATTATCAGAAATTTGTCCATTTCAGAAAAATTGAACGGCTGATGTATTTTTAGTTTGTTTTTAGTCTGTTTGGTTATTTCGATTTATAGGCAGTCAAATTGTGGCAAACATTAAAGAAAATTTTAAAAAACAATTATGCTACTAAATAAACGTTGGAAGCCGGTTTTACTAAATGAAAGAAACACTGTGTTTGATGGTGACTATAACGTAAGTAAAAATACATATTGCACTTTATATATTTTTGAAGCTCTATTCATCCAATATAATAATTTCAAGGATCTGCGGTTATTGCTGTGCAGTTCTTGCAACATCCGAAATCTTAAGCTGTCTCAAGAATGGTGTGGTTCAATTTTTACTTCTCGGGAGATCATGGATGCTTTAAGGAAATATCAGAAAACCGTGGGCAAGAATAAATGTGCATTTCAGATTAAAAAGGACTCTGTACTGTCGGCGAATGTGGCAGCTGATCTAATACTGCCTGATAGTACACAAATGCAACTAACAATGATACCTTCAGATAATGATAGTAATGTAATATTTCTCCTAGAAGGCAAATATCATATCCACAGACGTTGTATATGAAGAATCACATTTTGTGTTTATATCTTTATACCAGTAGATCAGTTTATTAGTATACTTACAAACAGTCCTCTCAACAATTTGGATGCATTTGTCAACAATAATTGGTTACGCATGGCCCTTAGAAAAGGCGTGGACGTTCTTTACATCGATGACTCAATATTTTTTGAGAGTAGTGCGGATTTATACCACCCAACGGAATTTCAACTGAGAGCTCTCGTGGACTTAATTCGGCCGCGTTTCATATATGGTTTGAGCGGTAAGCCGCTGCCCGAGCACATTTATTTAGTTGCCTACAAGTAGACTTTTGCCATTGATTGAAAAAAGAAGACATAAATGTACACTTTTGCCTTTAATTCTCATATATTTAGTAAAAACTTATTTCCTAAACTAAATTATTATTTTGAATTAAAGTCATCGTCTCTCCGTTTTTAAATTACTGGCGCGTGTCACATTTGTGCGCCCACCGCGATTAGTTTTGGCAGTTTGTTGTGTTTGTGCTGATCCAGTTGATGTGTTAATAGAAGATGAATTCGAGCCCAGTTGTCCCGACTTTTGTGTATTGCTAGCATTTACCTGTTGCATATTTGCAGGTTTTGTTACGATCTGGTTACCGCTTGCTGCTCCCGCCGCGCCGATTGGTTGAGCTATTCTTTGCGCACCAGATACACCATTCCCATTACCACCTACCCCACTTGCTGGCACTTGTGGTTGTTGAGCGACATTTGGAGTTATTCCAGCGCCTGGGCATGACGTCATTTGAGATGAACCAACTCCCAATCCACTTTGACCTGTCGGCACCGCAGTCACAGATTGTTGTTCCGGCCTTTTTGGTTCACTCATATTTAAAGCTTCATTGAAGGTCATGCAGAATTCTCCTATTTTGTACACGTCACCATTTTTGCCTGAATATAACGTTAAACAATGACGAAATATCGATGCATAGCCTTTAGTTAACTTAATTATATCTCCTGGAGATATTAGTTTTCCTGGCTCGTCCCATATACTAACATTAATGCAAGCTGTATGATCACCGACCTTAAAATTTCGCACTTCGCGATTCTCTTTGGTTACAGTTGTTGTGCCAATTTCCAGTACAATAAAAATTACGTTAATATTTTTAAGGCCGGGTTTAATATCTTTTATTGGTATGCAGTCACCATTATACATCGCTTTTTTAATCTGTTTTAGTTATTTACTTAAGAGTATTAAAGTTTATGTGCTGACAGTGTTTCCACGAATACCTAAAAACCTAGTTCAAATAAAGAAACTAGAAAATAAAAACGTTCTAGTTAGTTACTGGCTCTGCTACTGAATGAGTAGTCTTTATCCATATTTAATGCAATTTTCTGCCGACCATCTTTTCTGAATAAGAATTAATGCAATTTTTCGTTAGCAGAACATTTAAATTATACGTGTCTAAAGAAAAATAAATGACTGGCGTATGCAGTTATGTAGACGGTTGGTAACCATACATTTGCAAATTTTTAAGGCAATTGCCCCTTCTTTTGTGGAAGGTTTTTTTTAAAACACGCAAAATTTTCTGGATAAGATGGCTTTAACATACAGAAAATTATATTATTACATATACTTTGATCTCCTATTTTAAGACCGTATAGGATATTTGTCATATGCAGTATAACTATCGCAATGATAAGTTTATATAACAGTTATAACAATCTTGCTTAATTTTATGCGTACATATATATATATATACATATATATATATATATGTATATATATATATATATGTATATATATATATATATGTATAACTAACTATTTCTATCAGTTATTAATATTAATTATCAATAATACTAGGGTTAGTCAACTTTATAATAATTTATGAGCCTTTTTTTTTTGGTCCTAATTAACAAATCGCCAAAGTTTATTTTAATACAAAATCAAAAAGTTTTAAAATTCTGTGTTAGTTTTATCTACTTAACACGTTGACGCTCATTTTACAATCAGTAAGTGCTTCCAAAAGCACACTTCTTTTTGTTGTGATTGTTGTTGTTTTCTAATACCAAAAATACAGGACTTCTATACACGCGTATACCTACAACCACACACTGTGGACGTCTTTAGACGTCATTTACGCCAACGGGTTAAGTTATATGTATTTTTTTTTCATGACTGTAAATGATTGCAGCTATTCATTTTGCCAATTTTTTTCTGCAGCTTAATGAGAAACGAGAAACCGGTTTGATTTATCAGAAAAAAAATCAAAAGTTATTTGTAAATCACAATCAACAAGTTTGCTGAAATGGTTTTATTCCCTTTCTCTTATTAATCAAGCATCACTTGGTGTTATTGGCTTAATGTGCTTTTTCTGTATTAGTTGTGTTAGCTCATGTGTCGATGCTTCATTCGCCTGATATACTTGTATTGAATAACTTTTATAGAAAACTTTAAATTCAGTCTTACTTCGTCTGTTGTATTGAGCGGTGGCTTACTCAAATAGAAAGAACTTGGTCATGTCTGTGGGTCGTGTTTTAATATATGGTGGTAAAGGAGCTTTGGGAGCAGCATGTGTTTCACATTTCAAAGATAACAATTATGTGATTTTGCGCTCTAATGACCTTTTAATTATTTCTACTAAAATTTTTACTTTTTATACTTTCGTTTTTTGCTCAGTGGGTTGGCAGTATAGATTTGAATGAAAATGATCGGGCTGATGTTAGCATCGTTGTACCTCGCGATTCCTCTTGGATCGAGCAAGAGCAAGAGGTTCTTGGAAAAGTTGGTGATGCTTTGCAAAATAATAAATTGGATGCTGTTATTTGCGTGGCTGGTGGTTGGGCGGGCGGCAATGCTGAAAAAGGTTGATTTTATTTATTTATCTTTTAAAATAGTGAAAGCTTTAACTTGTTGTGTCAAAACACAGATTTGGCTAAAAATGCCGATTTGATGTGGCGTCAAAGTGTGTGGACCTCCACCATTTCGGCAACGGTAGCTGCTCATTACCTTAAGCCGGGTGGTCTGCTTGCTTTAACTGGTGCTCAGCCAGCCTTAAAGGGCACACCAGGCATGATTGGTTATGGTCTAGCCAAAGCTGCGGTACATCAGCTAACTCATTCAATGGCAGGTAAAAATTCAGGTTTACCGGAAGGCGCTTTCGTTGTGTCTATATTGCCAGTTACGTTGGATACTCCAATGAATCGAAAATGGATGCCCAAAGCTGATTTTGCCACCTGGACACCACTTAATGAGATAGCTGGGTAAGAAGCTTTTATTGTAGAAAGAATATATATAGATGTAATTTGGACGATTTTTAGGATTTTTCACAAATGGACTAAAGGAGAACAACGCCACAAAAATGGTGCTTTAATACAACTCATAACTAAGGATGGTACTACTCAGTTAGTGGAATCGGATTAGATTGTAATGTAATAAATAATTTAGCATTTGTTGTCTATATTTCAATGTCTATATGAATATCATTCAACTAATCGAATATCTATTAAAACGCTCCAACTGCAAATATTACTATTATGAAGTCTATTGTTAGCATATTTGTAGTGCTTCCGAATCCGCTTAAATGTGTATTTATTTTAAGAAAAATATAATCAATGAAAAGTGTGAAACTTGACCCAATGACCTCATGAGTTCGCGATAACATTTTTCGTGCGGATGGTCCATGCCCCAAATTTGAAAAACAACAATTTAAAATAACCAAAAAAGCCACATTGGTTGCGCATTTCCTACACTCGCAATATTGAAAAAATGTAAGAATTAGAAATTGCAATGCTTTGCTTTCTTTTTCGCTAAGTGCGGGTATTAGTTCTTGGCTTTATCCCTAGAACTGCGTAGAGATCCTATAATACTTATTGTTAATTTCTTCCTTTTGAGAATTATTACACGTACATCCTGAATGTATAATGCAATAACCATACCGTGAAATCGTTTTCACCTTCCCAAACTGTTCTCTGTCAATCCATTGTTTTAACTGTTCTCTGTGATGGATGAATACACATCGATGTAAACAATTCGGCCTTATTGCTGTAAAATGTCGGCGACCAACAGTTAACACCTAGTCATGGCTATGCTTGCCTGCAACCTTGCCTAAATTATCATTTAAAATGGCATATAGTAGTATAGCAGCTTTTGATATACATATGATGTCTTCTAGCTTGCGCAGTTTAAGGTGACAATCATCTAGTAGTAGTGGGCAGAGTTTCTCCTGTGGCATCTAATGTTTGGTTGTTAAAGGATTCTCCCAGGGAGAACGGAGCTTGACGTTGACATTCACTGGACAAAGTAAATATTAAAAAATGTTTGCTCTCGAGCTTTATAAGACTGATACTTTCGAATATTGTAGTTATCTTCAAACAATGCTTGCTGTCTATGTACGATCAAGGAAATCTCTGCCCTACTTGGGATTTGAAAACGTGAGCGCTGACTCGGTTATCGCAGTCCTTGCCCACTCGGCTGCTCAATTTTAGGTGCATATTGAAAATTTAATATACTTCACCCTCTCATATATGATCTTCACGCTTTCGTACAATTTTAAGCGGTCCTGCTAAGACCATTTATTACATCAACTATATATTCTTAATAATAAACAAAAGATTTCTGGGGCACTATTCAAACCTTATTCAACATTTAAGTAATGTAAGGTAGACGAATTCTTTCCAAAAAAAGTTCCCCGAAGAGAAAAGAAGTGAATTTCCCCGATCTAAGATTTCTAAGTTGCTTTTGTACCAAACATTCTATTTTCATCAAACAAGTTTTTATTAAAAAAAGATGGATCCGCCTGAGTAGCCGAAGGCAAGGAATCTCGACTAGCAAGTCAATGGTCGTGGGTTCGAATCTCAAGTGCGGTAGAGTTTTTAATAGACGCCGATAGTCTTTAGATGCTAGTGCTTTTAAGAGCTTAGTCTTAGAATTTATTTCTCTGGCGAAATTACTAATAATAATAATAAATAAAAAAAATGGATTTTACTTTTTTGCTTATTTTAGCATTATTTGTACTTTAGGTGAAATCTGGCAACGCTTATCTTAATTTACGTTGATTGACACAAAGAAGAAAAAAATTTAGGATAACTACTGTGATTTAGCATAAAGAAGACTGTGATTTAATTTGATTTAATTATTAAAAAGATGTTCGCCTTTTTATTGTGAGGCTAGAAATGCGGCGCATTTATCAAAGTTCATTTCAAGCCATGTCCAAAAATAAACGTAATAAATTCAATTCTCCTGCATTGGTATCTAAATCCGAGAAAGCAGAGGAACCCATACGATTGGACAAAGATGGAAACATCTGTGTACGAATCCTGGCAAAACCAGGAGCTAAACAAAACTTTATTACTGATATATCTATAGAGGGGGTAGGTATACAAATAGCGGCGCCTCCCTCTGAAGGCGAAGCAAATGCTGAACTCGTGAAGTATCTTTCTAAGGTGCTCCGATTGCGCAAAAGCGATGTGGTATTAGATAAAGGGTCCCGCTCCCGCAATAAAATCGTATTAATTAATAAGGATTCAACTAGCATTGATGTTGTCAAAGAACTAATTCAAAAGGAAATTGGGATGTAGACTTCTCCAATGCACTAAAATAATATATCTCGCCTTTAGTTACACTTGCCTGCAAAGGAAAGCAATTCAAAAGCAAATAAAACACACTGAAATTTATTTTGAAACGTTTATTTCTATCGAATTTATTTAGATTTAATACCCTCCTCATACATAGCTTTTCAGAAAACCTAAAAAACCAAAGGTATGTTTTATGCTTGGATCCTTTTCAGTTGTCTATGAGATTTTCTTCATTTCTGTGGTTGACAACTGGTTTTATTATATTAAATTAGGCAATAATATGAAAATCGAAATGATAATGTTAGGAAGTGATGATACCGCTTAAACGCGGCAACAACATAATTTGTTTCATGTGCATGATGATGAGAAATAATATTATTAATATATAATTATGAACCGCCTAATCAACTTCTTCCATGTGGGATGCATCCTCTGTGTCGTCAACAAGGGGTGGGGCATCACCACCACTTTGTGTATCTTCAGTAGCCATGGGTTCATCTTCGTCAATGCCAAGACCAAGCTTGATCATGCGATAAATGCGGCTGGCATGAGTCTGGGGGCTTTGAAGAGAAAAGCCAGATGACAATAGAGAAGTCTCGAACAACAAAATGACCAAATCTTTAACTGCTTTATCATTTTTATCAGCTTCAGCTTTCTGTCGTAAGGTTTCGATAATGGGATGGTCGGGGTTGATTTCTAAATGCTTCTTGCCAGACATGTAGCCCATGGTGGAGGTGTCACGCAAGGCTTGGGCTTTCATAATACGTTCCATGTTGGCGGACCAGCCATACTGAGACGTGACAATGCAGCAAGGCGACTCAACTAAACGATTTGACACAACAACCTTGTCCACTTTGTTGTCAAGTATTGATTTCATAAGCTTGCATAAATTCTCAAATTTAGCCTTATCTTCTTCACGTTTCTTTTTTTCAGCTTCATCCTCTGGCAATTCCAGACCCTCTTTCGTTACAGACACCAACTGTTTGCACTTGTATTCCTTCAAATGCTGAATCACGTACTCATCAATGGGTTCGGTCATGTAAACTACTTCAAAACCACGCGCTTTGACTCTCTCAACGAAAGCTGAATTAGCCACCTGCTCTTTGGATTCGCCTGTAATGAAGTATATATGCTTCTGATTTTCCTTCATACGTGACACATAGTCAGCCAATGAGCAGAAATCATCGCCGGAAGCGGAGGTATGGAAACGCAGGAAATCGGCTAATTTGGCACGATTGTTGCTATCTTCATGAACACCCAATTTTAGATTTTTATTGAACTGATTATAAAACTTCTTGTAAAGTTCCTTATCTTCAGTAAGATCCTCAATTAACTCCATAGTCTTCTTAACGAGATTCTTGCGAATGACTTTCAGAACTTTATTTTGTTGCAACATCTCACGAGATATGTTCAATGGCAAATCCTCAGAATCGACAACACCTTTAATGAAGTTCAAGTATTCAGGAATGAGATCTTCGCAGTTGTCCATAATAAAGACGCGTCGTACATACAATTTGATATTGTTGCGTTTTTTCTGATTTTCAAACAGATCGAATGGAGTGCGACGTGGAATGAAAAGTAGAGCACGGAATTCCAATTGACCTTCTACTGAAAAATGCTTAACGGCCAAATGCTCTTCCCAATCGTTGGTCAAAGATTTATAGAATTCACCATATTCGGCCTCAAAAATATCATCAGGGTTGCGGGTCCAAATTGGCTTAGTCTTGTTCAACTCTTCGTCTTCAGTATATTTAACCTTAACAGTTTTCTTCTTTTTACTGTCCTGCTCTTTTTTGTCGGCATCCTCATCCTCGCCAACATCCTCAATTTTTGGCTCATCGGTTTCCATCTCTTTCTTCTCTTCTTCCTTTTTATCATCCTCCGCTTCATCATCACTCACTTCCTGATCGCGTTCCTTCTCCACCACTAACTTAATGGGGTAGCCTATGAACTGAGAGTGCTTGTTCACGATTTCCTTAATCTTACTTTCTTCCAAATATTCGGTCTGATCTTCCTTGACGTATAAAACTATTTTGGTGCCGCGACCCAAAGGTTCGGAATTATCTGGCTTTACGGTAAACGAACCGCCGGCTGACGATTCCCAAATGTATTGCTCGTCATCATTATTTTTGGACGTGACTGTGACTTTATCAGCAATCAAATAAGCGGAATAGAAACCTACGCCGAATTGTCCAATCATGGAAATATCCGCACCGGCCTGCAAAGCTTCCATAAAAGCTTTTGTGCCAGATTTTGCAATTGTACCCAAGTTGTTAACCAAATCCGGCTTGGTCATTCCAATACCGGTGTCAATGATAGTCAGTGTGCCAGCAGTTTTGTTAGGAATCAACTTGATGTACAGCTCCTTGCCGGTCTCTAGTTTCGAGGGATCGGTCAACGACTCGTAACGAATCTTATCCAAAGCATCAGACGCGTTAGAAATCAACTC